GGGGAGGAGGGAGAAAGAGGGGGGATAAAAGAGGTAACGGTGAGGTTACAACATTTATATATTTAAAAAGGAAGAACGTTATTTTTGAGCGTTCGTCGTCGCTGTCGTTCCTCTGCTTTGTTTTGCATTACTTTGATTGTTACGTGCGTTCTGTCCTTGACGGCGATGGCTATTAGGCCGGCGATCAAAGTTGCTGTTATAGTTCTGTCCTCTGCCTTGGTTGCTGTTATTGAAACGATTGCCAGATTGATTGTTGCTACTGTTAAAACGGCGTTCTTCTGCAAGAACGATGTTTCCACCTTGAACAGTAACTTTATGTTGAGCTAGTGCCTTTTGGACAGTCTCAGGTGAAGCAAATTCAACAAAGGCACAGTTTCTTGGTCTAGAAATGTTGATATGTTTGACAGGTCCAATCTTTGAAAATGCCTCCCTAAGTTGATCCTCAGTAATATTATCGTACACTTGTTTGACAAAGATTTGTGTAATAGCATCTACCAAACAAAAAAACGTTATATGCCCACTCTAATTATTTTTATCATTACAATTGTACCTTTGTTACGAGGCGTCTGTTTATTTTGTTGATGCTGTTGATGCTGTTGATGCTGTTGTTGTTGAGCTGGTTTTTCTGAATTAGCTACCACAGGTGAAGGAGCTGCTACGGGTACAGGTGTGGCAGATGCTTCTGTAGATGGCGGTGTTGCTGGTGTAGGAATGATATTATTAGCTGTGCTAGTTGTAGTAGTTGCAGCTGTTGTAGGACCAGTAGCTACTGCTGCTGCGGCAGTCAAGTTAGCCCATGTCTTTGGCGCAGCAGGTTTAGTAGGCTTTTCGGTTTCTTTTTCTTGTTGTTGTTGTTGTTGTTGTTGTTGCTTCTGTTGGGGTTTATTAGGTTGCTTTGATTCAGGCTTCTTTTTCTTTTCATCAACAGCAGTCTCATCTTTTACTGGAGCAGGAGTAGGAGGAGGAGTGACAGTAGTAGGGACCTTGGAAGGAATGGGTGAAGCAGTAACAGGCTGTTGTTGTTCAGTTTCTGTCTTTTTGTTTTCATCAACAGCAATGTCCACTTTCTTTGTTTCCTGTTCATCCTTTTTAAGCTCCTCCTTCTCAGGCTCTTCTTCCTTTTTGACAACTTCAGGGGCTTCTGCTGTAGTAGTAGTTGTTGTTGTTGCTGGTGCTGTAGTTGCAGGAGCAGGAGTAGGAACAGAGGTAGGTTTCTTGGCAGGCTCTTCTTCCTCACAGGTATAGTAATCGATTTCGACTTCATCTTTTAAGAATCGGAAGATGTCATTCAATACATAGTATCCATTAGGTTGAGTAGCTAAGAAGAAAGTTTGACTGAACTTTTGAGAGGGTCCGTTCTGATTGCACATTTCTCCCAAGACATGAATGAGGATGCCATCATTGGCAGAGAGTTGACTATCGACCTGAGTGACCAAGACTTTGCAGTCTTCAAACTTACATTCTTCAATCTTTTTGCGAATTTCCTAATCTCCTTGATTATTTACATTTTATTTCTTTGCTTATTTGTTATCATTACCTCTTGACCTCTCGCTGTTTCAGTCACAGTACCTTCATCGCCTCTTACAAAGAGAGAGTCTTTGTTATAAAAGGCATGAAGTCTATTTGGTTTCTTGTTCAGAAAAGTATAATACTCACGAACAAAGATGAGACCTACATCCTGTGAGGATTGCGTGGCGGTGGTGCTAGTAGCGTTGCTGTTTGTATGAACTTCTTTAGAAGCGGTTTGAGTACCAGAATTTGCCATTGTAGTGTTTTACTTTTTTTTTTTCAAAGACAAAAGAAATAAAGAAAAAGAGAAAGAAAGAAAGGGAAACGAGACAAAATAAGAAACTTGCAAAAAAGCAATTCGCGTAAAAGTGAAGAGAAGCAAGCGGAGAATGAAAAAAATTCTTTTATTTTCTATTGCTCACACATCAAGATAAATTCAATTCATGCAATATCAGCATGTCTTTGATAAATTCAATATTGTAAGAGTATATAAAGCATCCTGACTGATCTTTATTGTTTCCTATTAGTATAAATTTATGAATATAGATTTTATAGGATGCTTAAAGCAGTCTTTTTTATTAAAATTTTGATAAACGTAGTGCATCTTCTGGCAAGTTGCTATAGGGCTCTATAGTTTCTATTGTATTTGGCCAAGTATACCGCATTATTTGATGATTATCTTGCCGAGACCAGTAATGCAGAGGAGGTGGTTCCTGTAAGCGAGATTGTGAAGGCATGGGCGGGGGATTGAGTAAGGCCTGCTGGAGATTCTCCTTTGATTGATCCTTGCTCTTCTTCTTTTTAAAAATATTCCAATGTGCCATGATTGAAAAGAAATATACGAAAAATAATACCTAGACAATGCTCAACATTCTCATCTAGTGAAATGATTTCCTTTGTGACTAATCCATTAATTCTTTTGCTTGATGAAACACAAGATCATTTAAGCTTCCTTAAACTTACAAGAGGCTACTTTATGTTTCAGTCTTGTCAATATTAATTGTTAAACAGCACTTTTTATTCAGCATGTCAATATTGTATGGCCTTGGCATTGAAAGGTTTGCTCCTTGTAAATCGTTGTCAATCACATGTAAGGAAAAGAGTATGGTAGTTTATGTATAAAGTTGTTGTTGTATTTAAGTTATTGATGAGGTACCGCGTCAATGTGCAATTGAAATGAAAAGTGCGGAATGTTTATTTCTGCGATAATACAGTTTTAGCAAAACTGACCATGTCATCTATTGAAGCAGGATCGATCAATTGCAGCAGATCAAGAGTACAACTGCTTTTACGGTAATCTATAAATTCAAGTTAGTACAAGGAATAAAGTGAGAAAATTGAATTTACTAAAACTGTCTTTATAGTCACAGCTACAGCGTTCTAAAAGAGTAAAATCAAGTGGACAGTGCGCTTTATCATTTAAAGTAAAAGCGACGTCATTAAAAAAGTGAATATCTTGTCTGTTCAAAAATAAGGCAGTTGCTATTGTCCGTACGGCTGCATCTGTCCATCTTTTTTTTTTTTTAAAAAAAAAAAAATACAATAAAATAAAATAAATAAACAGCGTCATTACCCATTTATGCTTACCTTTCGTAAAAGAAGCCACCGACAAGATCTAAATAATAAAACAATGTCCTGTATTCCTCTGATCTTAAGAACGACAGGTTGACAATTTCAAAGCTTGTGGATATTTGACAATAGTTATATTCATTGTTGTTGTTCATTAACCAAGAGAAAATAGAGTCTTCACTGGGTTCGATCAAGTGTGGATATAGGCCCATGAAATGGTTAGTCACTGGCCATAGGCTGAAGAGCGTAATTTCACTTGTTGCCTTTTCTGTTAATGCAAATCCAACTGATTTGTTGTTTGTTTGCATGGTAACAAATGGATCATCCATAAACATCTCACAATGATAGGTCGATCCTGCATCTACCCGCCATACATAGTCTACATCATCAAACAAGGGATGATAAAAGAATAGACCGGATTGATATCTTTATGATAATGAGTACAAATCTCCCTTATTGCCATCATCCATCACTTACCTTAGATAGTTACCATAAGAAGGACGGCTCACTCTAGGAGTGACAACATCTCTAAAGCTAGAAAAGAGTGCCTGAGAACGAACACCGTCTATCCAGGGAGGATAATTCCAAGCATCTAAATCGACGTGTCCAAAGTAAACTTGATCTGGATTGGTCGCAGTCCTTTTAATGAATCTTTTAAATTCAGAAGTAAAAGGTTGGTTATTCAAAAAGATCCAAGGATAAGTCGAGTTTAGTTTCGAGTTGAATCTTTCTTCGATGCTCTTCATTGTCATCCTTGCTTTCATCAAATCTTCGTTTCTAGTCATCATGTAAAATGCGCCCTTGGCTGGTAAATTCGCCCAGACGTCTTCTTTTAGTCTTGTGTCACTCTTTATCAGCGTGTCATTCATGCCGAATAAGTAGCTGACTTTCAGGCTTTCGGGTAAAGGTGTTTTGGCATGGTTTTTACACATGTTGGTGATGACATGTTCAAGGTCACTTAAAGATACATGTCTTGCCGGCATAAAAATTAATAATAAAATAGCTATGGTTCCAAATAAAATGATCACTTTGCCGCAGATAACTCTTTTACAAAAGGACATGGCTGGCTTCACAATATAATCAAAAGAATATAAAAAGAGAGAGGAGGGGGGAAGGTGTAGATTTATATAAAATGAGGAATGTAGCAAGGTTTAATTTGACTATAACGGTTCTCTTTTTATTTAGCTTATTGTTGTGTGTATTATTTACATCTTGTTTTTGTTTTATGTGGCTTAGAAATATGTATGTCTTAATCTAGATCCATTGGATCTCCTTTATTATCTTCTTCAGGCATTATTTCTGTGATCTTTGCCTTTTCTTTATACAATAATGCAGTCAGTAATAAATCACTATAATAAATCATCAATCATTCTTCTCTCTAATTTTTTTTATTCATTCAGTTTTCTACCTATAAGATGATTGTTGTTGTTGTTGATGATGATGATGATTTAATACAAATGAAGGGATGCGATATCTACTTTCTCCTGATCTTTGTTCCATGGGCAACAATGATCCATTAATGTCCATGATGTTGATACGTGAACGATTTGTTTCGTTTTTAGGGCAATCTTCTTGTTGTTGTTGTTCTTCTTCTTCGTCTAGTATAAACTCATCATCCATTTGTATGTCATGTTTAGCATTCAATGGCGGTGAATAATGTTCGTGAGGTGGAGTAGGAAGAGAACCTTTGGCTGTATACTCTGTTAATCATTATTATTGTTTTTTCTAGTATTACTTACGTTCATCAGGTATTGGATTAAAGGGCGTTAGACATGATATTAATCTCTTTTTTAAATAATGTGTCTCATAATCCTCGCTTGACCTTGGTCTTTTTCTCAGATTATAGTTATTGGGCGTCAAAAGAGGCAACACTTGCATGTGCTTTGTAAAGAAAAAAAGAAAGGGCAAAGAAAAACTTGGATCTTTTTGTAGATCGGCGCTTCAACTTGTCTTAATGAATTTTCTGGTTCTTTCTTTTTGCATAAAGAGAGTTCTTTATATAACGAATAGTTGTAATATAAGAAAATGAAAGTAACTAAGCATGAAACGAGTGGTTTCTACTCCTATGGACGCCATGTAACCTGCTAGTCATCTGAATTGAAGATGAATTTTTATTATTCTATTCTTATTTGTAGGTTATGGTTTAGTAACTAGAAGACAAATGAATAAAAACATACTGTTTGTTTTATACTTAACGAGGCGTTAAGAGGTACACTGCCGTTATGAGCAGCGCATTATATTCAGGAACACTGTTAGCCTTTTGAAAGTCTTCTGAAGATGGAGGAGAGCTTTCATTCACTGTAGGAAATTTTAGCTGGGAACTCGAATTAATATTCCTTATAAAACTCTCACACAAACCTAATTTAATAATATTCAGCTCTTTTTAATAAAGAATCTACTTTGCTTGTTATCGACTTAGTGGCCTTTTTCAACGGCAAAGCTGAATATAACACAGTGCAATACTCGAGCCAATTCATAGAAGAAGGGGAAATGAACAATAGCGATAGTGAAGTACTAACAGATACAACACGACATGGTTTGTCTCAGTTTGCTAACATGACAGTTGTTGACAAAATAAAATACTTGTGCGATGAATATGGTGAAGAAGGAAATTTTGGTTTCATGAGCAACAAAACATCTAAAAGATATCAGCCTTTTGCAAGCAACTTAAAGGAAAATACTACACGAAAAAATTCACGACAAAGTGGCTAATGTTACGAGCGCTTCCTCTGGGCGCTACCTATGTTGTCACTATACATCTTCACACCATCAAAGCCTCTATATAACCTAAGGCTGTCCAGTGGGAATATCTATTAATGTAAAATACACTTGAATTGATCTTGGTTCTTTATTGATCAAACTGACAACATAAAACTAAAATAAATGAAGAAATAACAACATTTCTTCTTAAAAAGAAACGCAATCCAAGATAATACGTTTATAAAGTCATATTTAGCTTGATGCCATACATTGAAAAGCTTTGTTGCGCTTCATCATAGATAGTGGGTAGAGGTAGCGCCGTAGTATTAGTCTAACTTTTGGAGTATTTCCTGGTGCAGGTAGCGTTTCCCAAGGGAAAATACTACAGATCGCAATGCTTCAGCTGTAGAATCAAAAGAGCGCAAGGATTATGGAGCAAATAGGAGTGATTACCTGTCAGTGAGAGGGAATAAAACTATACATTTATGCGACAAAGTACATATCAAACAAACACCTCATTACGTACATAAAAGGATCATTTGCTATGTCCAAGGGTGAGACTCACTGTCCTTCTCACTGCAATGCTTTCTTTGAAAAGACAAGCTTTTTTAAATTACAGTAAATTATATGCTATTCTTGAAGCCAAGTTCAGATATGAAATAGAAATGATGACATTCAACCCTGAAGATGAAAATGATTTCGCTTTTTGATCTGAAAGTAGAGAAGAGATAGATTGCTCTACTCATTAATTTACTTTTACCCTTATCCCCATAAGGAGTTTTTTCTTAGCATTTACTTCCAAACGGATTGAACGGGTCCGGGCAGACGTTTGTTACATTATTTCTGCGCTCATCTGGATCATAAATAAAACATCATGTTTAAACGAAAGACATTATCTGTATGCTTTATATGGAAACAAAAAGTGGGTGAGTTTGATTAAAGTATTGAAAGTGGTCATTTCTGTTATTGCCTCTTAAAGTAAAAGCAATCTCATGAAAAGCTTCTAATTACCATACAAAATGGTATCATGGCAACAGTACTTTCCACTTTTGGTTCATTTGTTGTTATTTTTGACGAGCCACAATTTCATCAAAGGATTGGTGACAGAGCTTTTAATATAATTGTTATTATCAGTACTATTATCACTGTTGAATATGTTCTCATGGCTATTCAATATTTCAATGAAATAATGCGTTGTAAAGTATTGAGGAGAGGCCCCAAAAAATCAGGATGATTGTTTCATTCAGATCATCTTACAGCAGCACACAAGGAATTATAAATTGCATAGTTTTTAGTGGGTTTTTATGTAATAAAGGAAGAAAGGGGAATAATAAAAAATGCCGTATTAAAGAAATACAAAGCAGGTATATAAATATATAATTATAAAGAAGAAGAAGAAGGTGACAATAGATCAAAGTCGTGAATTTCCATAACAGTTTTACCTTGTCCTTCATCATCAGGTCTTTTTCTTTGCATCAGTACAACGGCTTTTGTCTGATTGAATTGAATTTTCCATACAATTTTTGAAGGCTGAGTAAAATTTCTAATGAGTCTACCACGTTTAATATCCCATAGTTTCACTTTTCCATCATTAGCTGCACTGAGAATATGCTGATCATCAAATTGTAGGCAAGTGATGGAGTTATCATGAGCTGAAAATTGTTGTTTACATTCAAATGTTTCCATATCCCATACACGTAAGCATCCATCCGCTCCCCCACTCACCAAGGTCGTGCCTGATAGCTGTAATTGTCCAACGAGCGACGTATGTCCGTGTAAGGTAGCTAAACATTCACCTGTTTCAACTGACCAAATTCGAATATGTGCGTCCATAGCTCCTGTGGCAATGATTTTACCATTGGTGACAATGGTGTATATTTGTAATGTGTGTCCCACGAGTACATGTTTGCATCTTCCTGTCTTCAGATCCCACACTCTAGCCGTAAAGTCATATGATCCTGAAACGGCAATATCGCCATGGATATCAACACATCGAACACTGGCTTGGTGTCCAACAAGTATATGTAATAAAACGCCTCTTTGAATATCCCATACTCTTAGTGTCGCATCCCTTGATCCTGTCACTGCAATCTGTTTATCTCTAATCTTTAAGCACCGAACAGTCGATGTGTGTCCACGAAGTATATATTTTAATTTGCCTTGATTGAGATCCCATACCCTTACATCTCTATGGATACGAAATGATTAAAGAAATGCACAAGGATAAAAAGATATTATTACCTATCACATCCGCCAGACAATAAAACACGCTCAGGATCATCTTGTTCTCCTCCTTTAAATTGTAGTGCCCATACGCCGCCTTCATGACCTTCGAGAGTTCGAATTTTTTTACCAGAATTGGTATCAAAGACCTCAATGCGATGATTGTCACATCCAACCACTGTAAATTTTTCATCAAATTGTAATGATGTGACAAGTCCATGTGAGAATCCTCCATCGACTGTCGTCACTTTTCCACCTTGTCTCCAGGCACGGTGGATGCCATAGTTTCGCTTAAAATGATCTCTAAATGAAAATGAAGCAGGAACTTCTATTTCTTCCTTGATATATTCATGTCGTTTACAAAGCACTTTCCACACTGTTTCATCTTTAACCAATGAGTTCCAATATTTGGATATACGAGAAGCATGCGCTAGAGTTGCTGGGTTATCAATATAAGAAAGAATATTCAGGGCTATCTCGGGTGGTAGTTCCTTTAAAAAGTCCACCTTGAGTCTGGGTGCGATCAGACTGTTGAGGAAAGTAAGCTGACCATTGTCGCAGTGGTTGATGATTTCATACAAGAATAATTGCTTTTGCATTGGTGTCAATAACTGAAAAGAACTTACAAGATGTGATAGATGCTCTTTTTCGTCACATTGCGATAAAAGTGCACAAGACTCTAAATCAAGTCGATGAGGTATTGGACTGTGTGTTGGTGGTGTTGCAGGTGGTGAAATATCTTCAGTATCGATCACTGTCATTCGATTGTTATTGTTATTATAATAAAAAAAGAAAAAGAAAATATAAAAAAAAGAAAGAAATACAAAAAATAGGAGATGTGTTTGTTTTATTTTTCCAAAATAAGGGGTGAATTATGAGTGGCTCAATTTTACCATGTTTTCACCTTTCACTTCCCCATTCTCTTACTTATCCTCCCTCTCTTTCTCTCTCTTTCTTTATTGTTTTTATAGTTTTGAAACGTTTGATTTACAATTGAAAAGAAATAATTGTGTACTTGTCAGGTGATTTAAATTATTCTATAGTCATCATCATCATTCATATGACGAATGCCTAATAAATTCCTTATTCCCCCTTTCCATCTTGTACTCTGTCTGTTTTGCTATTTCTTGCTTTTGTATAAGCATTCAAGGGGGTAAAGGTATAAAAAAGGGTATTAAAATTCAAAGTGTGAAATGTGTAATTGTGTGTAACCATAGTAACTGTTAACAAAACAAAAGAGGGGAGAACTCTGTCTTATTACCTGTAGATCTGTGTATTGTATGATTAATAAAACTAAATCATGATATACTTTCTTCTATTCTTTTTACAAATCAGAACATTTACTATTCACACTCCATTTACACCCTGTCCAGCATAAAACAAAATCAAACGGCGATCCAATGCTCTGTCCACAATCTGCGTCATCTGAATTTTTGGTTCCGTTAAACTGTTTCTGTTTCTATCTCTATCCCCTTCTTTTCTCTTTTTTTCGCCTTTATATCTAAGCGTTATTTGTAAACATTGTCTACATGTTGTAATTTATTGCTTACTCACATCTACTTTATAGTTAATCATGTCAACAACAGGACCACTCAACGATGAAGAAGTTTTTAACGAGATGAAGAAAATGGTAAAGTGTTTCATGTCAGCAAAGCCCCTCTTTTCCAACCTTTTCTTTCTTTAAACTAGGTTGCCTTCATCAAACAAGAAGCTATCGAAAAGGCTCGTGAAATAAAAGTGAAGGTATATATATATATATATATATATATATATTAAACATACAGCGCGACATTTAATAAAGAGAAAAACTTATTTGGTTGTTTTAGGCTGACGAAGAATTCAACATTGAAAAGGTAAAGATATCTGTAGACGCGTATATATGTTTACATACATACATACGCGTGTGGCCGCTTTTAAAGATAAAAGAAATTTATGACAATTCTATAACAGGCCAAGATTGTTCGTCAAGAGTCCTTGAATATTGACGCTGTCTTTGAGCGAAAGATTAAACAAGCCGAAGTTCAAAAGCGAATGTAAGCTCTTTAAGAGGGTAAAAAAAGAAGGTTTATCTAACCTATACAATAGTGCTCAGTCAAATCACATCAATAAAACTCGTCTCAAGATTCTTCAAGAACGTCAACAAGTGCTTGATGAAGTGTTTGAAGAAGCCAATCAGCGTATTCATCAAGTATCTGATGATCAAGAGACCTATGCTGCTTTGCTCGAAGGGCTCGTCCTTCAAAGTGCTTATGCTCTTATGGAACCCGAGATGGTCATTCGTTGTCGTGAAAAAGATGTTGATGCTGTCAACGGTGTCCTCGAGGCTGTTGCTGATAAATATGAAGAAACCATGAAGCACAGACCTACGTTCACTATCAGTGAAGAATATCTTCCCGAATCAAGGTAAGAGAGATTATCAGATTATTCAGTAAACTTACTTTTTATCAAGTGCTGGTGGTGTTATTATGAGCGGCCACTATGGAAAGATTACAGTCAATAATACCCTTGACGCCCGTTTGGACATTGTCAAAGATGAAATGTTGCCTCAAATTCGTGTTGCCTTATTCGGACACTCTCCCAACAGATCCTTCTTTGATTAAGATGTTGTATGAATGTGTAAAGCATATATCAATAAAAATATAGTCTTTTCAATACCAAAGATAAATGAAAGCACTATTTGTTGATATAAAAGGCGTGTTTAATGATCTGCCAAAAGACTGAAGGTAAAAGGGAAGATGTTTAGAATCCACTTTTTGAATTATTGAGGATAGTATATTTGATGCCAATAATGATAGTAACTTGTGACATGTCCAACACTTCAACAATAGTAAGCTAGGTCCAAACATTCTGGAATAACATTTGCTCCATTTTTGCATCTGTTCAATAGCTGTTTGATCTATCTTTTCTTACAGAAGTTTGATGTCAGTAAAAAGGCATTGATATAATCAAGATGGTTCTGAACATACGACTCTCATACTAGCTTTTACACTTCATGTTGTATTTTGGCATATCGTCCTTAGAGTGAACATGGTCAAAGGATTGTAAAATATTTAACCAACTGAGCTAATCGTATTTAACTAAATCAATAGCTTCGAGAGACTGCGATTAAAGGAAGTGATCAAGGGGATGTGTCACAAACAAACTGTTGTTCACCTATTAAAAAAAGGAACAATAAATATTTCTTTTGAAGAGGAAAGTATTATGGAAGGTTTTTTTGAAGCGACAGTATACAAATGGGTCTATTTTATTAAGCTGCATATAAACCAGTCGATGGTCGTCATACAGATCTTCCTACATTTAATGATTCACCTTATGGCAATAACGACATACTGATCCTAGTCGACAACTTCAGTAGATGTACAATAGTCAAGCCTATGTTTGACAAATCTGCACTGTCAGTAACGTTTTGTCTAGTAGATATCTTTGCCAGCTATGGTTTACCAAAGTGTCCATGATGTTAATGGGTCAGAGCACATAGATGAACTGACACGAATATACAACCTTCAGGAGTTAAAGGCCGCCGCGTTAATCCATATCATCCAAATGCCAATAGTTTAGCAGAAAAATGAGTGCAAAAGATAAAAAACTTGTATAAGACTGGAAATTCTATATTACATCCACAATGTATGCTATAAGCAATATTTCTACGTTTCTAAACCATTCTCCCTCACGTTTTCGAGACGAGCTAATGAATTTCTCAAGCCATCTAAGTATCTACTATCACCAAACGTGATAAATACCTCAACAACTACCATAGCATCGTCATAACCCATCATGTCAAATAACCTTTTCAAAATAATATTTACTCATTACTATCTTACTTGTCTGAATGCAACGTTCTCTCATTTTGATATCAAATTGTGTAAAGGAATAATCGGTCGTAGTTTTATAAAAATTTATTAGAAAAAAAAGACGAAAAGAAAAGAGAGAGAGAACAATTCAAATGCTGTGAGCTTCAACCAGCAAGACCAGCTTTCTTCTTTTGACGGCTAAGGAAGCCTCATCACGATAGACTTCTTCCTCCAGCTCTTCTATTGCTCTTTTGAGCAAGCTAGGAGGAGGGAGCAAAGCAGAGCACTTGCACCAGGATGTGTGCTGATCATCCAGACGCCGTTGGACGATTGATAGATTCTGTGTTTACGAACAGGATTAGTATTTTTTAGTTTACATCCTGAATATATCTGCTACTTACATAAGCGACACCCTGGCTACTTACTCTGTTGGGGTGACGAGACTGCCTTAGAGAATACTACAGATCGTTTTGTTTTTGATTTTGTAGTAGTAGAAGAAAGCAGCGATGTCAGCCTCGCTGGCGAAGTGAGCGTGACAGAATCTGTGAGAAGAGAAAAGCCAACGTGTTAAGAACTATTTTTAAATTATATTATATATTTGTACTTACATCTGCCCTTGATTTTGTTTGAAGGCGTGTTCGGCTGTAAAGCCGGTACATGTCTTCAGAATATCAAGTCTTTGATATTTTGTCAGGCCCTGCAGCTGCTCGCTTTGGATGTAGATATGACGGAGGGGAAGGCGGTAGCCGCGACACATTTATAAAAAAAGAGGTGAAGGAAAGAAGTGCTCCTCCAGAAACCAACTGCTGATACAAGCGCCGTACCAGCACAAAATAATACTGTTGACTCTACTAAATTAGCTTCTGTTTGCGGACGTTTCCACTTTGTCAAATATCAACACCACTCCTAGAGTTATCTCTACTCTCAGGAAGGAGATTCCTCTGTATCGATCCTTCGATCCTCCATTGCAACACTACAATCGAATTTGTCCATATATGGTACAGACACCACTGTTTAGTCAGTGTCTAAACGAGGTTTTGTTTGCTAAAGTCGATTCTATATTGCTTTTTATTGTCCGAAGTTTACAATCTGCTTTGAAATGTTGTCGTGTAAATCCTGTTGACAACTCTGTGTTCACAAGACAATAGAAGACTCATACGAAGCAATGGAGAATTCTCTTTCTATAGTCTGTGCTATTCATAAAATCGTTAAAGTAGAGTTTAGTTCCAAAGTACTCAAAGCTCCTTTGTTTTGAAACTGACCCCGTTTATTTTAACCAATAAAAACAAAGAATTAGCCCACTTGCATAAATTGAATCAAAGGAACTGGTTAAAGAGGAGCAGGTATGTATCTTTATATTAATAAAAAGAAATAGGGGAAATAAACAAATGGACAGGTTGACTTTAAGGAAGAAACATAATAGTTATTTAAGTTAAAGAGAGGGAGTATTGGTTGTATTACGTAGCACCGGAAGCAGAACAGCACATGAGCTCAAACTAATGGGACAATGCATAAAAATTGACATGATTTACAACACTTTATTTACATCCAAAATAATAATAACAATAATAATAAGAAAATCATTCTATGCTTTTACTGAGACGTCTCTTGTTGAAACATTCCATGAACTTGATCAGATATATTCAATCGTTGCTGTTTGGCAAGGTTATAGTAATACAAGGCCTTTTCTCTATTCTGATTTTGCATGTAAAACTGTATCATCAAGGTGAAAGGACCAGCACGAGGCTTATATCCTGGCGAGACAGTCATCTCATTAAAGTACTTCACTGCCAATTCTTCATTTTGACAACGGACACAAGCAGAGATGACAGAACCATATGTCACAGAGTTAGGTACGATACCCACCTGACGCATTTCGTTAAACAGAGTCAATACAGAATCTAATCGTTGCGCCTTGGCAAGCTTTGACAGGATCACATTGTACATGTATACGGTAGGTTCAACCTTGTTCTTCTTGGCTTCTTCATAGATTGTCAGGGCATCAGCAGCAAGGTTATCCATACTATCCTCTGAATCGTTCGGTTGCAGGTGTTGGAGCAAGCAGCCATAGGCATCACCAGTAGGGTACATATTGAGGTCTCGAATTTTTGAATAAAAGGCTTTGGCTTGGTCGATGCTGGACAGACGAGCATTAGAGACCAACATAGCATTATAAATCGTATGCAGACCGCGCTGTCGGGTGTGGTGTTCGAGTTTCTGTACGGATTCAATCACGGTTGAGTAGATTTTGTTGATCGCTCCTAAATCTTGGTACTTGGTGCATACTTGGATTATATCACGAATGACATCGGGCGAAGGAATCTGTCCTTTTTGGATGATCTGGCTCTGTAAAATATCAATTGCTTCATCGTATTTACCCTCTAATGCCTTTGAAAGAGCTTTGCCTGAAAGCATTTCAGATTCTACGGTCACCTTATTAATCGGTTCAATCTTGTTTGTTGGGCCATCTTGTGTCGAGGTGTTCATGTTGTCGTTTGTATTGGAAGATTCGGTATCTTGTTGGCTGTTGGCGTTCTCTGGAAGAGGAGGTATATAAGGGCCGAATAGACGATTCCAGCGCTCTTCATATTCGGGGGGGACACCATACTTTTGCATACGTGCTAGCACACGAATGTAAAGGCTAGGCGTCGGTGAGATGCCAAGGGAAAGCATGTCTTCCAAGAGTTCAAAGGCAGTCTTGCAGAAATCATCTGGTATGGACTGTTTGCGGAAGATGGCATCGTACAAGACTGTGAAAGAAAGAGGAGAAAGTTCCTTGGAGATCGTTTCCCACTCAGTGCTATTTGTCTTGGCCTTCTTGTACATGTTGTAGATAGTAGAAGATACAACAGGGTTAGGTCCTACCGAGTACCTTTTCAAAATCTCGAGTACTTCTAAAGCTTGCTTCAGGTTGGTACACTTGAGGGCCAATTCAAGGCCGAGGCTGGCAATGGGTGAACTCTTGTCGACAAAGTGTGTTTGAGCATAGGCATCCATAGTTTTCTGATATGAACTGATTGCATCTTCGAGTTTGCCATTGTTTACAAAAGATGCAAAGAGTTTTTGACAGAGGGTGAGATCAAGTCTGAGCCCATGAGTGACCATATCCTGCACAACCTGGATCGCAATCTCGGGCTTGTTGTTACCAATACATGCATATGCGTAGTCTGCCAAGTGACCATATTCCTTTGAAATATCGCATTTCAGCAACTTGCTGTACACCTGAGCAGCCTTGTCAAAGTCCTTCTTACGGGCATAAGCAGATAATACGACAGCGTAAGTCGATCCATTTGGTTTGGGGAGCTTGGAATCATTTTCTAAAGCGGCTAGAATAGATTCTACAAGATCCAGCTTGTTATCAACACAGGCACGTCTAAAGATCTTGTTGTATGGAACGATGCTAACTTTGATGCCATCGTTGGTCATGACATTCTGCACAATATTCAAAGCACCATCAAGGTCACCTGCATTCACATATGCTGATACAAGGGCATTATAGACATAAGCAGGATCATGAGAGGGAAGCTCTCTCTCGAGTGACTTGTATTCCAAGAAGCATTCACGAACAGCAGGAAGATCGCCTGCAACACCAAACAGAGACAAAAGAGTAGCAAAAGTAACGCCATTGGGCTTAGCATTACCATCGCCTTCAAGATGTTTCAAGATATAAATACCACGCTCTGTGTTTCCCTTGAACGAAAGGTTTTGAAGCATACGGTTGTAGAGGTCCACATCAAAGTCTTGGGTACATTCTTCCTTGACAGCCTTTTCGAACAAGTCCAAGGCCTGTTCCATGTTCTTTTCGTTTTCTAAATCTGACAGGTTGTCCACTGCATTGCCTGTACGAGCCATCTGACGACGAAGCATACCCACTGTTTTTTGAACTTCTGAATCTCTTGTACAGAGTGATCGAATCAAGAGAGCGTAGGTGTGCGAAGAAGGACGTGCTCCAGAGGCAATCATCTGTCTATATGCGTCCATCATGGGTGTCAAAGGTTGATTCTGTCTGCGTAACTTTCCATAGGCTTCGATGACAGCTTCGTATGTCTGTGAAGACAAGGGTGCACCTGCCAAAGATTTTCCTTGTGTAAAGGTTGAAATGACAGTGTGCAGGTCGTTTTCTTTAGCAGCTTGAAGAATGCGACCGTCGACTTGAGCAGGATCTGTCAAAGGGGGTCTTTTATGTTTCCAAGCAGTACGTAATTGTCCTTGAAGGATCAAGGATTCGTCTAGTTGTTGATGTTGCTGTTGTTGATTTTCTTGGTTATGTTGAACAGATTTTTGACTGAAATGGGTCGATCTACTTGTGGTTGTATAAGAGATCTTTCCAGCTGACACATGGCGAGTGGGTAGTTGAGTAAGAAAAGCGGCTGATTTAGGTGCTGTAAGTTGCTTTGTAAGCACACCTTGTCTAGCAACGGTGTTTATAATAGTTGAAGTTGCCTTTGCACCGTACATGTTTAGCAACTCGACTGATTAACAGGAGAAAAAAAGATTTTTTTTGTATTTTTCTAAAAATATAAGGAGAGAAAAAATTTCGGAAGCCAATTGACTCATAAAACCAGGGCGGAACATTTATTATCCGCTATTGAATAGCTTCGTTGTAGTATTCACCATAAAAAGAGAGCCATTGAATATCAAGACAGAGATAGAGACAGAGAGATTGAGAGAGTGATAGGCTCATTTATGTCCCTTGATCAATCCAAAATGGGTACTCATCGTAACCATTGTCTTGTCATATTTAATAATCATCGTCCCACACATTATAAAGTTTATTGTGTTAATCAATGCATATCTGATCAATCCGATATCACTGCTACAGCAAGCAAAAAGTATAATATATATTTGATGGCTCACATTGTTATCCTTGTTAAATAAGTGTCACATTTTACACTGTCTTTTTTTTTTTTTTTTTTTTGTTAGCATAATTTTTTATGTACAGCAGCGACATCACAGAACCAAAGACACCAACAGAAAGCTTTGTCGTGTTTGGTACAGCTTTCCCAGAACAAACAGAAAGAGATCGCAGAGCTGGAAGAGCTGATGCTGGTCAATTTGTTCCTGTTTGGAAACAAGAGGCAAGAGACGAAAAGGGACGTCGAAGGTTTCACGGTGCATTCACTGGAGGCTTTTCTGCTGGTTATTTCAACACGGTTGGATCTAAAGAAGGTAAAGATACAATAAAGCTGTATACAATGTAGATCAATAATATATTTTATAGGCTGGGAACCCACCAATTTCGTTTCTTCTCGCAATGCACGTAATGAAAGAAAAGAAGCTAGACCTGAGGATTTTATGGACGAAGAGGATTTACAAGTAAAAAAAGTAAACAGCCAAACACTGCCAAGACTAATCAACCTGGTGTATATAGGATTTGGCAGGCACTCGTAAGCTTGTAGCAACAGAAGAGTTTGATATACTAGGAGGGACCGAACGAGAGCTGGCAGCACGACGAAAACAACAGCAGGAAGAAGACGAAAAAAGAGGAAGTGAGTTGGGAATCATTGGAAGTAGCTTAATCGACATGTTTGGTCCATCCAGAGATCCAATAGGCGTTCGATTACTACGCAAAATGGGCTGGCGTCCAGGACAAGGCATCGGCCCAAGGTTGGCTAAGCGGCCAAAGGAAGGAATGGAGGGGGATGAGGATGAGGACGATGAATTACTGAATGATATTACCTTTGCTCCTCGTGATACCCCTATTCAAAGCTTTCAGATCAAAAGAGATACATACGGCCTAGGCTTTGACTTGGCGACATCTGTGCCAGAAATTGCTGAAATGAAAAGATTGCGTGAACTGGCAAAGAAAAATGAAGAAGAAGAGAATAAGAAACGCTCAACGTTTGGTATCTTTGACAAAAACACGACTGGAGACGCATTTGGACTAGGTGCGTTTGAAGAAGAGGAAGATGAAGAGGATATTTATGGAGATAGGTCAGCAAGAAACTATCATAGAGTGCTTTATGATGATGAAGGTGGTATGACGAGAGATGAACTCAAAGCACAAGAAAGAAAGCGTAAAAGAGAACAGGAGGAGGATCATTACCGGGAATTGAACAAGACTAGATGCTCTGATGGAAGACCACCGTTGAAAGGGTTTCATGTATCTCAACAGAACCAACAGATTGGTAAATGGTAAATAATAAGAAGTATTCTCGAGGGATTCATCCACCAACATGCCTTTATCACTTTAGGTATCCACCTCCAGTTGTTCCATCTGACTTCTCGGGTCAACATGCGCCACTGGAAGATTCGGTAAAATCAATGGACGTCAATAAAGAGAGTGTATTTTCATTTGAAGAAAGAGGATTAGCGCTTGGAGAAAAGCCAATCGAGCATCGTTCTGTCTTTGACTATATCCCAAAACACTCCAAGGACAGACTTGATCAAGCCATTCGATTCTTTGTAGATAGTGGAAAAGATAAATCTCAACTTTCTGACTTTCCTTCTGTGCCAAAGGATGTCGCCCTATTAGCTTTGAAAGGATTCATGCCGTTTGGTGATAATCCAAAGAAACAAGAAAGATACCGAAATTACTTAGAAAATCATGCAGGTATGCTCACAGAGGATGGAATCCCGAAAAAGGTACTGCCTATCCCTGAGGGTTTGACATATGATGCTGCTATGAAGGAAATGGACGAGTTTGCAAAGGCTGCTAGAATATTTAGGCCCATCAGTGCTATGATGAGTGGTCGATTTACATCAGCATCAGACGCAGCTAAAAATGTCGAAGTGGTCTCTTTTGAAGGCGGATTAAAGACTGAAGAACAATATCGCAAAGAAAAGGAAGAAAGAGCAAAGGCAGTACCCGAGCCTGAAAAGAAACAGGTAAGATTCAGAAACATGTCACTCTTCTTTTCTCTAATACTTCTGTTAGCCAACACAAGAAGCAGAAGCGGCAGCAATGAAAATGTTTGGCGCTCTTACTCGTACAGTAAAGCCATTTTATCCTAGTAGACTTGTCTGCAAGCGATTTAATGTTCCTAATCCACATCCAAATGTTACTGCATCTACTGATACGGCAGCTGGTCGATCTCAAGCTGGATCCAAAGAAGCGCTTAGTAAAGAAGCGATGGAAGCAATGCTGAACGAAAGAATGCCATTAACATTTACCTCTGCCGAAACATCTGATGATCCTTTACTGAAATCAGTCATACCAAAACCTTCAGAAAGAGCATCATCATCAGATGACAGTAAAGCGCCAACGACTGGTATTACCCAGGAGATCGCTGCCAGCAATAATGCAGGACAAGAACAACCAGGTGAAAATGGATTACAAGACGACAAAGATTTGGACTATGAGCGACCCTCCATGGATATTTTTAAAGCAATTTTCGAAGACACAGATTCTGAAGATGAAGAGCAAGAAAAGGAAAAGGAAGAGGAAACATCTCTCATAGTGAGTCGACAGGAGAGTAGTGATGATGAAGTGATCGGACCATTACCCCCTCCAAAGGCACCTACGGCCGAGATACCTATTCAAACAAACAATAAGCCTGAGCTAACAACAGAGATCTTTAGACCCATGTTCAAGCGAGCCTCCGAAAGACGTGAGCAAGGTACGACATCATTGCCAAATATTGTCTCTGAAGAGAAAGTGGTTCAACCATTCAAACCGAGATCGACAGCGAGCAAGCGTCGTCGTGTGTCTGTATCTGAAAGCTCTGACGAAGAAAGCAAAAAGTCACCGGATGAACGATCTACTTCACATCAAGAGCACAGAAGTAGTCGATCACACAGATCAAGAAGAAGTAGTCCAGATAGTAGTAGTAGACACAGTCATAAGCGAAGCAGAAGTCGAGAAAGAAAGCACAAGAGCAGTCGTAAGAGGAGTAGAAGCCGCGACAGAAAGAGTAAAAAGCATAAAAGCGAGAAGCATAGATCACGTAAGCATAAGCATCATACAGAGGAAGATGATTATGAGGAATTGTGGGTTGAGAAAGAACCAGTCTTGAGCTATAGAAGCAATGAAAGCAGCGATGGTCGAAGAAGAGAAGGACGCTTACGTGCTGCAGATTTATGGTGATAACTTAAATTTATTTAATAAAAAGATAAACTACTACTTCTAATATTATTTGGCCGCTGTCTTGAGCTATAAGAGAATGAATAAAGACTCTTCTATATAAAAATATTTATATATACCTGAAGACCATGCATTCCCTTGATTTCTTCTTTCAGTACTTCATTAACCATTCTATGCTGTTTAACAATGCTCATTCCTTCGAATTTTTTAGATGCAATATTAATAGCGTACATAGATCCACAGCCCCCTTTCAATAGACAAAACGTTAGTTTATTTACACTTTAAAAAATAAAAAGGCATTACCTGAAACATCGGCCACTTGCAGTTTGTGGGGAGTGAGTGCTTCAGAAAGCTTTGTGTAAATATGCTTTTCGCCTGCACTTAAGCCTTCCAAGGCGTCTGCCTGTGTTGAATACAATGCACGACGAATGAGAGTTGAACGCACAAAGTTTGAAAGCATCTTTACTAGTGAAAGAGAAAGAGAAAAAGATCCCTTTTGGGAACTGAAGTTTTATCATTTTAGACAGTCACATCTTTAGCTTACATAAAAAAGGCAAAATAAATATTAAGGAGATATAATACATGATTACTCGTGTGTTTATTAATGGCAAAATCAAGAGGTTTAAGCATCCTTGATCTTCTTGGTACCACGGAGGAGACCAGTACGACGAGCAGCAATCAAACCGACCTTTTGACCAGCAGGAGAGTCACGGGCCATGGTAGAAGCCTTACCAATGTGTTGATGGTTACCACCACCGTGAGGATGGTCAACAGGGTTCATAGCAACACCACGAGTCTTGGGCCAGCTGTTACGCTTGACCTTGAATTTGTGGTAGGCACGACCAGCCTTCAAGAGGGGCTTGTCAATACGACCACCACCGGCAACGATACCGACGACAGCACGAGAGGTGGAGGGAATGACTTTCTTGGAACCAGAGGGAAGACGAATACGAGTCTTACCGTCATCACCGTGACCGATGATGGTGGCATAGTTACCAGAAGTACGAGCAATAGCACCACGGTCACCAACCTTTTCTTCGACGTTACAGATGACAGTACCTTCGGGCATAGAGGCCAAAGGCATGACGTTACCAATGTTCAAAGAAGCCTTCTTACCAGCATAGATGAATTGACCAGTGTACATACCTTCAGTGGCAATGAAGGTTTCAGTACGGAGCTTGTACCTAATCATGAGGTTAATAAAGAATATTTAAGAAGATGTCAACACTTACTTGTAAGGATCACGGAAGACAACCTTGGCAAGAGGAGCACCTCTACCGGGATCGTGGACGATCTCCTTTACAATACCACGAATGTAACCATGACGTTCGGCAAAGTCGAAAACTCTGAGTTTGGCGGCACCCTTACGGCCAACGGTGTGAGATTTGAAGATACTTCCAGCACCTTTTCTTTGAGCACGAATGACGCGACCCATATTTGACTAATCTATAACCAAAATTGCGTATTAATAATTGTTCTCTTTCTAAATGTGTGTGTGTGTGTGTGGATGTATCGTCATTGAATATTGTCCCCAATTGTTCCCCATTCCCATTTTCCCCTTCCTTCAGCACAGCTCTCTCTCCGATCTTTTTGCTCGAAATGATTGTAACATATCGCATCCATCCATATAATCCACACATCCGTTATCATCCATCCCTCTATTATCACAAAATATAGTTCATCTTTGAATATACATACCCTTAATTAGGTGTAGGGAGGAGAAGAGGGAGATTCATGGCTTCTGCGGGGCTCTATGTGCTGTTGAGGTCGGGCATGGAGAGGCGGTAATCCAATTTCTCCAATAGGAACTGTGGCTTGCACGTTTTTTTTGCTCTTTTCAATATGCAACAGCTCATACAACAACGCAATACGACATGGCAATTGCTGAATCGAGCTAAGACTCTTTATAACACTTGGGCAGATATTCAATCAAGATCCTTATCCACACTACAGTCTATTTGCAATATAGTCGCGCAACGTAAATGTACACTAGAACTACCAAAAACTGTAGAAAGATACAATATCGATCAGAGCAAGCTTTTGTTTAAGCAGACAAATTCCATAAGTTCCTTGATCGAGAAACAAAGGGTGTTACTTGGACTCTTTGAGGATGTATGTTCACGCTGGTCGGAACTGAGAAGAGACGTAGATAAATTTGTAACAAAAGTGCTTCAACAACAACAGCATACTACTACTCCTTTACCGCTTTCAACCGAGTCAATGCTTCAAGTGGCAGCAGTAAATGTATCTGATCTATATGAAATGGTATTACTACTTGATTATTCATACCATCAAGAATATATCTATAAAACAAGTCTGTTTGGTCAACTACAATCAAGTTTATCAGAACCAACAGACGCATATCATCTTTTAGAATTATGGCAAGAAGAATCTCATGTAGACAAAAAGACACTAGAGGATATGTTTGAACGTATGAAAATGTTTACTACCATTAAAAAAGTACTTGAGAGCGTGAATTAACAGGTAAAAAGAAGGAAAAGAAATAATATATTACATGAATCTCTAATATTCAACATTGAAAATTCTTACAGCGTGATCTTCGCCTGCAGAAGCCAGCTGAAGTAGTCTATCTTGAGTAGCTGCACGCCATGCCAAAGAACGGACAACGCCGAAATGACAGAGTCTAAGATATGGATTAGTCATAAAGAATAGATAAACTATTTATCGCACCTTTGATCCAATTCATGCCATAGTGTCCACTTGTCAACCTGTTGACCATTCTCGGTTGTATACAGTAATATACGTCCATTTTCTAATCCTACAGCGATCACGTATCTATTATATAAAGTGAGTTTTTGGAAGCGATAGCTACTATGTTAGCGCCCTTACTTATCACCATCCACTGCATTCGGTGCAAAATCAACTGCTGTAACTGCTTCATCACACTTGCCAGTATAAACACAAACCCAGTTTGGAATGGTTTGGTCAGGGCGAGCCCATACCTTGAAAGTTTTATCACGAGAGCCGGTGACAAACAGCTTGTCATTATGACTCCAAGAACAGTCCCAGATGATTCTAGCATGTGCCTTGTTCTTTGCAACAAGCTTATATGGTTCTACTTCATCTTCTCTACGCTCAGAAATTGCCCATAGACGATCTCTCGATACAGTCAAAAGCCATTGATTGTTATGAGAAAACTTGCAACGTGTCACTGTGAGGGCGTGTGCGTCGATTGAGTGCTTAATTTCTTTCCAAGTGGACGCATTGAATAAGCGGACGATGGCATGTTCAGCTGTGGCTGCTTTACAAGACGAGGCAATGTACTTGCTGTCACGGCTTACGTCAACGGAAGTAAGTTCATAAAGGTGTCCATAAAGTTTCTCTACTTCTGGCCACAAGGTGTACTGTAACAGATGTTCTTCATATGGAGGATGTTGCATAACTTCTGCTAATGCTTCAGGAGTAGCCGAAGTATATGCATGAGCGCCCAAACCATTCGAGACATCTGTCTCTTCCTCACCAGCATCTCCCTCAAAGACAGCCTTGTTAGAAAGACCAAGGGCAGGCAAATTGGCGCCTACGGGTCGGCTTGCGATGTTCTCTCTTAGACTCTCATCTCCAGTTAAGCAGGCTAAGCTTTCGACACAAGACTTGGGCGCATCAAAGACACGAAGAACTTTTTCATCAGCTCCACTTACAAATTGCCAGTCATGAATAAAAGCAAGACACTTCAGATCATAACCATGGATCTGAGGACGACCCATTTCATGCCATGTAGATACATTTTGACCATCGACCGTACGATTCCAAGGAGCAAACAATCGTGTTGTCTGATCCAAACTAGACCCAAGAGTCAATATTCAGTATGAAATAAGGCAGACAGTACAAACCTGGTTGAAAGAAGATATCGTGATTTGGGATCCCATGCAAGACTTTCGACAGATTTAAAGTGACCACTGATAGCAACCTTGGGCGACCAATTATTCTCTCCTTCGATCTCAGAGTTGTCTTTCCACAAATGGAATGATCCATTGGCTCCATGAGAAACAATGTGTTTCCCATTTGGACTGAACATAGCACCACAGAAACCCAAGTAAGTGCTTCCTCCGATATCACCCATACGCACTTCATTAACCCAGACACCAGTGTTTGGTTCAGGACTCCAAATCATCATGGATTTATCAATAGAAGCGGAAATAAGACGCATGGGCTGAACAAATTGCCTTTCGCCACTTGCATCTACACAAAGGGGTATGTCAATTTAAATCATATTGATGCACACACCCTCCTTACCTGTTGCCATGTAGGGCTTTTGCCATTGCACGCTAAATACCCAATCATCATGACCCATAAGAAGCGCCTCAAACATTAAGGAATACTGACAAGAGTCAACAGTGATTATATGTGCTTTGGTGCTTAATTGTTCTCCAGATCTATAAATTGCCTTTTTAGTTATCTTTTTTTTTTCTTCTTTACATGTCTACTTTTCATTTACAGTGCACTTTCTTTTAAAGCATCCAGCAGATCACTGCTGAGACCATTATCTTCCTGTTGTTGTTGTTTTGTAGGCGCAGGTACATGAGGTGATATCTTCCAAAGACGAATATATTTATCTTGACTTGCACTTGCAAGCATCAAATCACCCTTCTTGAACGAATTATTGACACTCTCATTACCTTGTCCTGTATAAGTTGCAAAGGCCAAGTCGCGGACCCAATTGTCATGGCCCTGCAATGTGTGCACCTTTTTAAATTCGTTTGTGGTGGACTGATAAACATAGATTGTGATCACTTTGTCGGTGTGCCCACTGGCAAGAATTGGGACTAATATAAAGACATTGAACTTTCTCCTTCTCATTTTTTCTTATTCACCCCTTGATTACCTCTACTATTTGGAAGATAGGACAATGCTAATGACATTGGATACTTATTTCCGTTGTTGATCACTTGCTTGCAAATAACCTCGTCTATGATCAAGATTAGTGCCCTTGAACTCAAACTGTTCAAATTATATCCAACCTGAACCATCATCTACAACGCGACGCTCCCATACACGAATGGTTCCATCGGATGAACCGGTGATGATGATATCTGTTTCTGTCTCGATAGAATGTGCACGCATACAGGCGATGGTCTCTAATGCTCCGGTATGACCTTCCATAGTTGCTGAATTGATCCACTAAAGTTCCTTGTGAGTATAACTAGCAAGAACACATTTTTGTAACAAGAACCTTTCCAGTATTATCTTTTTTCCAAACTTTAGCCGTATAGTCTGCAGAACCTGATACTAAAGCAACATCCTCAAGTTTGTCTTCACTGCCTTTTGACATTATTAGTTTTATGTTTTTTATTTTTCTTATTGTATAATGACCTCTTTCAATAAAAGATAAACAGTTGACTCTTCCTCTATGACCAGGTAATGTCTCTGTCACGCCTTTGCTACTCTCATCCTAATAGAAACATATATTAGCGCAAAAGAAAAAAAGAAAGAACTGAAAGTATTCCTTGCCAAAGGATAATAAAGAGCAATCAACTTATCAGCACCGAATGCAACAAGACCATCATGTCCCCAGCAGGCAGCATGAGCTGTTCTATTGCAGCCGATCGAAATGAATTCTGAAGTGACTTTGACCATGTCTTTTTTAATAGTAGAAAAAGTGTGCATAGAAATTAACGGCTTAATTTATTTTGATAGGTCTGTGGCTTAGGTATAATGCTTTACAATTTAGGAAAATGATGTATGAAATAAAGAATTTACAATGTTTTCTGGAGTATAGACAGATCATGAAGGGCGCTATAACGGACGCTGTCTCTGGTATCATTCAATGCATAGTCAAGTAATCTATCAATCTTTTCGTTGCATTCACGTGTAAATAAAGCATATATACTTTTCATTTCTTTCTTACCTGTTCCTTTCGATCAATGACACCTTTACTAATCAAGAGCGTTAATGTTCTCAGGGTGACAATGACTAATTCACTATCAGCATTTGGATCATTTAATAAATTTAGACACGTATTTTGAGCCTCTCTTGTCATCCCAATGTCTTCATGCATATGTCTGAATATCTTTACTATTGTCAACTTAATACTGAGAGGGATAAAGGAATCTAAAGACACCATTTGATTCGGCCCTTTTGTGTATATATCACTCTTTTTACCTCTTAATTTCTTATCAATCTTTGGAAATATGACTGCAGCAAATCGACTTGATTTTTCACATATTTGATCACTTGCCCAAATAGCTGCCTGTAACTCTATTTTATAGGTTGCTAATTCGAGTCTTTGGATGATACTATAAAAGAATACTATTGTTACATATATGTATGCATATATATAATAAGAGTATTTACCCAAATTGAACATCCAACTTCTCTGCTATAATTGAAGACATACATCCAAGAACTCTATATTAATAATTCATGCACGCCAAAATCAATCTAGGTTATTATCAATAGAAAGAAAGTATATTACCTTAATGTAAGTGATCTCGCAATAGGATCATTACTGCCAAGGATAGGTAAAATACGTCTGACTGTTTCATCCACATTCATCACTTTCTCCAAATGGTGTGATGCCTCTTTAAATACCTTTAAAATATAAAGCTTGACGGTATTATTGCTATTATTTGGGTTATTAATAACACATCAATCAATTCTCTTCTATTTCTTTACTAAGAACGAAACCAGTCAGCAAGTTTCAATATAGCAGTATTGATAATCAGTGGATGAGGATGTTGTTTAAATACATGCACATATCCAGTGAGTGCCTGTATTTGTGGTCCATGAATACCCAAATTACCAGGGCGAGGCTTTTGATTGAACCTTGTTTCTAATTCCAAAAGAACTTTATAAGCTACTTCCAAGTCGTTACCATCATTCATTTTATAAAAACAAGAAAGAAATAAAAGAAATATTTCGTTCCTTTTTTATCCCATTTCTACATGTTTGACGAAACACATATTTTAAGGCTACTGTTTGTTATAAATTCAACAAAAGGGAAACCAGAACTTCAAAGCAAAGCCTTTCAATGTACACAAAATCTAGTCTCTACTCATCAACACTTGATCGTTCGGATCATCGATTCCCCTTCAGCCGATAATCTCATCGCGTCCATCGGAGACTGTCAAGCTATTCTTCATGACGCGATAAACGAACGAAAATATACAGTGGCCATATCTTGTGCAAAGCTATTATATACAATTTCACATATTGCACTTGCAAGTCGAGATCGTAATGCAATGGACATTGATGTTCCAATTATATCAAGATTGCATCAAACAGTGAATGAAGTGATAGATGCCCTATCAACTGGAATAAATAACCTGATAAAATCGACACGTTTTGGTTCAACTCCAAAACTTTTATGTGGGACATATAATGCTAAAGTATGCAAGAAGAGAAAAGAAAACAATATACTGAATACTTGAATGAAATATAGCTTAAAGAACTACTCAAGATGAAAGCGCGATATTGCACACTATTAAATGAATGGGACTTTGAAGCATCTTTTAAAGAAGCATACCAGACACTATTATTAGCCAATGGTAAAAGTAAAAGAGACAAGACGATAACGATATTTATATCTTATAATAGATGAAGTTGCTGCCATTTTATTACCATATTTGACATTTCTTTTACAACAATGCCGTCAAGTGCCATCTTGGCTTGCAGAAAGTGTCACTGATAAGTTAAAGGAAGGGATGAATAAGTCATCTATGTTTGTAAGTGTGCTTAGTAGCATCAATAGCTGTGTTACTCAACTTTGAACACAAAAGATCAATCTAGTAAAATTGCTACTTCATACCTCATCTACAGAAGAACTTACAGCCAAGGTGATATCGCTTTTACACGTCTATGGATCATGGGATGACACCAACGAAATGTTTACATCAAATTGCTGGAACATTTATCTCATCAGTTTAGAAGCAGGACGTCGTGGATGGTTTGCACTCATGCAAGCTATAGTGAGGAGCTTATTTAAAAAGGTGATCATGTTGTTCTATTGCATATATATTAACGAGAACTCACAATAAATAAAAATAGGTTCAATCTGAGGAAAGTGCATATTGGCTAAGGGCATTAGGTTCTCTAGCCTATGCTGAAACACAGGTACCAAACAACATTGGCACAGTCACAGCCAATATTGTAGATTCTGTGACAAAACATTATGTTATGACACTTGAGGCACTCAAGGTAAGAACACAGAAAAGTAGGGAATTATGCCCTGTATTCATTCTTTATACTACAGGCATTAAATGGATTAGGTAAGGAAACATCTGTACAGCTATACTTTGTTGAGATGCGTATGGAGATGAATGTTATCATACAGCTGGCGTTATCTACCTTAAATATGGATACAAATGATGACACAGCCTTAATAAGGCAGTCAAGATGGATGCAAGAATGTGCAGATCGTTTTCGTAACTTGGCCATTCGATTTAACTTGAGCGAACAACCTGTGGAAGTGGATGATAAAGAGATTTTACATGTACTCGCAACCTATAATACATGTATTCTAGCATGCGAGTATGCTGCGCGTTCCTTTGCTGCTTCGAATAATCTGTTCTTTTGTGTGAACCCGACGTTAATTCCGATTTTGATGGATGATAGAGTGGATGATGATAGTACTAGCAACCTTAGAGAATCTAACCTTATGAAGATATGTAGAAAATTTGTAAAGACTGTTGCAGAATGGGAAAAAGTTTCTGGTCTGGAGAGTAATCAAAGACATGAGGTATATATCAAATATATTGTTTCTTTACAATGCTCTCATGAACAATCACCTTCATTAGCAACGTAGTCAACATATGAAGACAGCATTAGAGGCTATTCTCAGGACACCATTCATATTACCCAAAGCATTCTTTAAATGTAGTGGGAGAATGCCAATTCCAAAACTAAAGCATACCTGTTAAGAGTACAAGTAAGAGTAATAGTAGTAAAAGAGAACTCCTTTCATGAGGTATACGAGAGACATAAGCTAAGGAAAGAGAAATTATGCTAAACAAATAATAAATCTATATAAACAATTTACTACTTTGTTTAGCAAATATTGGTATTTATTGATGATATGCAAACAATGGATTAAGCTATTATTTCTATATTTACTATTATTATTCTATATTCTTTAGCAAACAACGCATTTGCCATGTTTGTCTCCTTGTAAAGATAATAGCTTGGCCAGTTGTAATTGTTCATTGTCAGTAAGATTCTGACACATGCGTTAATACCTTTAATGGGGAATATATACATTACACTTACTCCTTGCTTCGCCTTCAATTGAAGTCTATGAATCTCTTGCTTCCTTTGATCTACTCTATCTTTTCTTTGTCTATCAACATAGGTTAACAAACGAAGGAAGTATCAAAGCAATATGTACCTTTCCATCTCTGCTCTTGAAATGCTATTAGCTTGTTTCGCTGGTTTTGCATCTGTCTGTTTTCCTTTACAGAGATGATCTACTGGTAATCTATGCTTCACACAAAAAGAGCGCCCACAGTCAGGACATTGCATTGGCACAAGCATCTTTGTTGTGCAGCCCTTTTTACGGCATGTATTATCATTTTTAGGCTTCAGGTCCGCACAATTGTTTTGTATATGTTCATTCATCTATCAGATAAAGAGGTTACTGAGGTTGACTTTAACAATATATAGTCCTTACTCTAATGTTCGGATCTTGTCCTCTTGGTACTGATACTGGCTTTTCACAAATAGGACATGTAGGCACTCTATATAAAGTATTAGACTACGCAAGTAGTCGTTGTTGTTTCTGTTCTTTTTCCTACCTAATATCCATTTTTGGATCATTCAGACTTGGACAATGATGATCCTGTAGTTTGAAATGGTCTTGACTATATAGACGTTAATCAATTGGATAATAGTAACAATAGCAATATATATACCAAAATATATGCTTGCAGTAAATGCATGTATAAGGTAAAAAGTCTAATAGTAAACCCCGTCATTTCTTCTATTTACTCATATTTACTACTAATATTATCTTACCATAAAGGTTACAAGCAGGTGCTGTACATCTTTTGCCGAGATCAGGAAACTCCATGATTACGAATATAATATAAAAATGATAAAAAAGGGCAACAATGAAGTCAGGAACAACGTATTTATATTTGGGTACAATTAATTCAAACTCAGTGTATTTTTCAGCGAGAACACTGCTACGCGAAGTAGAATTGAACATTATTAATGAGAAGTTTTACTTGAGGTAGAGAATCTATGGCTGCTATTTACATATTGATTGTTTTCAGTTTGGTTATTACCCTTTTTCTTTCTTTTTATTCTCATTTGATACACAGAAGAATGTATAATAGAATATATGCCTCTACTAATTACTCAATATCTGTCATATATCGACCATATCACGCGTAGCCAAGAACGCATTCTTGATTTCAAAAACCAGAAACTGGGCACTCAGGTAGTACATTGCAAGAAAAGACATCAGATACACAAGGTAAAGCAGCTCGAGGGCGTCCTTCATGGTAAGTGGAAGATGTTGCCACTTGAACTTGCAGATGAGCTTGTGACAAGTATGTCCTCCAGATGTCAGGCAATTATTGGTGCATACAAACTATTAAATAACATTTTCATTGTATAAACTTCAAATGCCTTATCATTTTTTACTACAAAGATTCTAAAACTCGCTTTGCTTTTGCCGTTTGCAGTAAATAGTACCTTTCAGAAAAATTTAAGCTGATCTTTTTTTGAGATAGCAGATAAAGACCTTCCTGCTCTCTTTCAAAAGGAAGTGATTTTGTGAATCATTCGCTGTGTCAAACACAGTTCTTCCTTTATGAAATTACCCTTAATTCTTTGTGTTACATCTCAAATTGATTTTTGATTGGCCTAATTATTGTCTCTGAAGGTTAAAAACCTCTAGATTGAACTGGAAACTACTGTTTATTAATCATCGAAATGGCTACGCTTTCAGATGACGCCATTCGCAAGGTAAAAAATAAACAAACCATTTGACCTACATCTTTAACCCATGACATAGGTCTTTGTTGAATTACAAGCCAAATATATCCAGAGCCAGCAACAAGTAGCTACTGTCAAAGCTCAGATCCAAGCCAAACAACGCGAACGCAAGATGGCAGAATTAACCCGACGTGAACTGGATAGCTTGGATCCCAATACGAAAACTTACAAGCCCGTTGGAAAGATGTAACATCATGCCGAATAAACAAGTACGGTCTGTCTTAATGTATTCTTGATAGGTTCATTCAAAGCCCATTAAGTGACATGAAAAAGCAATACGTTGATTCCATCGCTGCAACAGACGAAACAATAAAGCAACTAGAAAAAACACAAAAATATTGGGAACGATCAGTTTCTGATGCAGAAGGAAATCTTAAAGACATTCTTCAGGGCCCAAGAACGATGTAAATACAATAAAATTTTATTTTCCCTTCAATAGCTTAGTTGTCTTTACATGGAAAAACTTTTTGATGGAACCTGAAGAAGAAGAGTTGGTATCATTACTACCATAACTTTCACTGCTGAACGTACTGGTATTACTACTAACGATAGATATCCTCTTTTTTTCAATTTCTTTTGTTGTCTTGCCCCCAACCTGCTTGAGATAGTCAACAATAAGCTTATAGCCTTTAGATTTAGCCAAGTCAAGAGGAGTAGATGTTTTCTTAAGAATACATGCGTTTGGATCAGCGCCTAGTCGAATCAAGGTTGTCACGACTTGTAACTGACGATGACGTATAGCATAATGAAGCGGTGTTTCCCCTTTAGAATCTTGAGCATCCATCTTGGCATCATAGCCTTTCACCAAAAGAGTGACAAACTCGGATTTTCCTGCAGAACATGCATAATGTAGAGGAGTTGCGCCTATGTATAAATGTGTGTGTGTTGTTAGCATTGTCACATTATAAACTGGGGGGATGACTTAACTTACCAGCAGTGTCGAGCTTCCTAAGTAATATGTTTTGAGACGCCTTCAAGAGGTAAGTGACTACTGACTTCGAATTACTTTGAACAGCTGCGTGTAACGCATTTTCGCCAGATGGGCCATAGCTATTCGTTATATCCACCCCAGCCTGCTCGATCAGCAGCCTGACGCCATTCAAGTAACCCAGCTGAGCTGCCAACACTAAGGGGGTAACCTTGTCTTTTGGATTATCCGTCAACGGGAACACATTGGGCTTTGCACCAGTTAAAAGTACACTTTGTAATGCAGCCGTATTCTTTATAGCAACTAATGCATGAACCAGACTGTAGCCTTCTTTGACTCTCTTGACTGTGTCTGAGTTTTTGGCGACATTCGGGTTACCCCCGCGACGCAAGTAATTCCTAGCAACAAAGAATATATAAGCTTCCGAAGCACATTTATCGAACAGTGATCGTTACATGACAGTTTGAACGACTTCTTCCTTGTTTGCTTTACCGTTCGCGATCGTATTCCAAAAACCATCACCACAAGCAAACTTGAGTACTTTTGTTTCTTCAATCGGGTCCAATGAGCGCGTATTATTATTGATATTGTTATTGTTGGTATTATTATTATTATTATCGTTGTTATTTTCATTATTTCTCGAAGCAATTTCTTTTTCATTTTCACTATTTTCTTCATTATTTTCGGTCATTGCATCTTTTTCTTTGCTATATTCCTTTATTCTTGAGCTTTCAGTATGTTTGTCGTCTTGTGATTGAAGTGAACCATCACACTCGGAAATGGTAGAAGAGTGGTTAATGATATCAGAGAGGTCAGAATCAAAGTCCATCAGGTCAATTTCTTTGTCCTTCAACTGGTCCCGGGAGAGTGCCGCCTCAACAACTTCATTTACGGGAGCCAAAGATGTCGAGAAAGGGGACGTAAGCCTTGGTAGCGAGCAGTAATCTTTTTTGAGACTTCTTCCGGGCCTATAACTACAGCTAGAGCTTAACAGGGAATGTCGTCGCAGAAGTAACTGGTCGTAGCTTGTTTTGTAAAAGTGCATTTCTTTGACTGTCCTTTGATATCTCTGTAATTGGTTATTATATTTTTCAACAAGGCCTCTCTTCATGCGTTCTGATGCATTTAGAGCATCCACTAAACTATCGTGTCTCTCTGCCCAGTCTTGTACTATTTTATCCATGGCTGTTTTTAACTTTTCTTGAATAGCGATAACCTCTACTTCGGTGATAGTCTGTTCAAGGTCATAATGTATTTTTGTCTTTTGGTATTTCTGATAGCGTTGCGTAGAAGCAGGTAGAGGCGGAAGAGGAAAGCTTTGATAGTATTCTTCCAAAGACATGAGGGAAAAGTGAAAGAAAGAAGAAGGAAAAGAGCAATCAAGCATAGGAATAAATAGACATGCAGAACACACGCTCTCTCACACAAGCTCCCGCACACACAAGCGCATAAAAATGGGTTTTAAAAGAAAAAAGTTGATGAATGAATATCAATAAAAGTAATAAGCAAAAAAGCGTATAATCAGGCTCCCTCTTTCTTTGTCTTAACCTCCGTTATTTTCTGTAACAAAATTGATCTTCTCGACATTCTTATTGGATAGAGCTTGTTGTGGATCATAAACATCATGCACATTAAGGAAGAAATTAGTTTAAAGGGTTATAGCTGTGATTTATAAAAGAAAAAGAAATATAGCAACTACGATATTGCCATTTTATAAAAGATGACAGATTTAAAATAGCAGATAAAAAGAGCGCAGTGTGTGCTATTATGCATACGTGAACACTTTTTAAACACCACTTTCGTAATCAAACCGGCATAAATTGTCAGCAGACAAGAACTTGTATTTTTTTTGATCTGCCAAATGTAAGAATAGAGTCAAATGCCGTACCTTGATATTTATAGGACCCATTACATCATCATATATAAGCTATCAACAAGCATTTGAATTCATTTACATATTCTATACTATCTCAAGCTTATAAAGAAACATATATACATATAACAACAATGGCTTTATAAGCAAAGGTTTTAGTCATAAGTTCCCTGGTTTATTTTGTTTTGATCATCTTTATGCTCCTTAGTTTCAATGTCCTTCGGATAGACTGCTTAGCTGCAATGCTATACTATAATATGTAGTCATGACAACACAATCCGAGTGTTTTCATGTTTCATATTGTTAATTTAAGTTGATAAAATTACTTTTTTACTATTCTTGCTTCAATAAAGTGTGATTGGATTTATAAACATCACATAAATTAAAAGTGAACCGTGCTTACCCCTCTTCTTTTTTATATATATGCAGTCCGTTGATTTAATGTATCACGAAGCAATAAAGTATGTTTCCAGTAAACTCGTTTAATAAGCCAAGTCCAGATAAAAAGCCCTATGTACTAACTGACCCTTAGATTTCGCTCCCATTCCAAGGGTAAACCGAGATATAATGAAATTGTATGAGATGTCTTTATTAAATAACTTTTTATTATGCAAATATAAATAGACAATAAAACTTTAAAGTAACTATGTACTATTTTTATGCTTGTCTTAGTCCTCTATCTCTGTCATTTCTACACCATGATAACCACGGTTTTTACTAAATCGTAGCGTAATATCTACATAAATGAAGATTAGTATACTCCCTTCTAACACACACGGGCCACTCTTTTCTCCTTTTTGTAAATTGTTGCACATCATTGTAGCTATGCCTTCTCCCCCCTTTTTTTTCATGATTGATCACTTACAATTCCAGCCTTTTGATATCTTGTCCCCAAATTTGACATGAAGGAGCCATATTGGAACAGCCAATAAGATGAGACTGACGGCAATAAGACTTTCTATAGGTGCTTCTATAAAAGGCGTAGTACATAAAAACAATGCAACCAGACAGAATAGGATGGGTGTTGATAGCCAGACACGGTACGGTCTATTGAGATCTGGTTCAGTATATCTAAAGATTAAAAGTGAAAAGACCGCTAGAAAATAAAATCTACATAGCCTTGCGTTAGTCACTATGCTTACTAAGCTTGTTGTTACTTACATCCAAGCAGTCAAGGAATAAAAGTTAACGAGCACTCTAAAAGAGCCTATCATGATCATGATGACGGTCAACGCTGCCTGTAAAAGTAATGCCAGAATAGGCGTTTGCCTGGATTGACTCAACTTTCCAAAGAGACCAGGGATATGACCTTGTTTTGCTGACACATAAATGATACGTGCCCCTGTAAACACACTGGCATTAGCAGACTTTCAAAATCGTAATTAGTTATCTATCACATAAAAGAGATCCCTTTTCTTTTCTTTACCCCAAAGCAACTAAGTGCTACACAGACAGCAAATAAGATGCCACCAGAAGGACCAAAGATCTTTTTGCCAAAGTCCATTGAAACCGTATTAGAATGCATCACAACTTCAGGTCTTAGAACGGCCAAATAGGCAACATTGGATAGCATGTAACAAAAGACGACGAGTGGAATACCAAAAATGATCACACGGGGCAAATCTCTATGGGGATTCTTCATTTCCCCCGAAACATAATTCAAGTTATTCCATCCATCATAAGCCCATAAACCTTTTTGTTTAACATTGTTAGTATTCTATTTTCTCCATTCTTTCGGGCTGTACCTGAATAAAATGCCAAAGCGATTTGACCATAGCTAATCGAACCAATTCCATGAAATGGGTCACTTTGGATACTATTGTCACCATAGATAGGCTCTCTTTTGGATAGGACAACAATTCCGGTAATAGATATCACGATGGCTGTTAATACCTTGATAGCCGTTAACAAGTCTTGAACACGAATACCTGCTTGAACTGAAATAGCATTGATAAAAGTCAAAATAAATAGGCATATTACAGCAAGTAGCTTGGGTAGAAATTTGGGTATAATGGCGTCTGCTAATTCAACAGCATCATCCGAGTCGTGAGGTATATTGAAGAAATAGGTATGATATGCAATGCGTGACACATACTCACCAAACACAATACAGATAATGGCAAGACTTCCAGGCTAAATTTTGACTTATTATCTTCTTTTTTTTTTATTAATGATGAGAATCCTTACCTTTTGAACAATGATTGTGATAAATTCAAACATAAAGGAAACTAGACTTCCAAATGCTCTGCCCAGATAGACAGTTTCCCCACCGTTCATTGGAAGCATTGTGCCTAGCTCAGCGTAACACAAGGCACCGCATAATGCTAGTAAACCTGATATAAACCACACAACAAGAGCGGTTCCATATGCACCTGATGATTCCAAGACAGGTCCTTTGGATAAATTGGGTCAGTTAATCTCTCTTTCTTTTCTAAAGACCAATTTCTGGTACCTGGAGAGCTAAATAAACCACTTCCGATCATCATACCGACAACAAGGCCGAGTCCGTTCAGAAAGGACACCTTTTTTTGTAGTTCTGGACCTCTTGTCTGTGTTTGTGAAAGAGGGATCATTGGTATAGTCTCAAAGGAGAATACAGATGTCGTTGATGTGTTTGCATGCTGAGTGAGTGGTAATAAACTTTGATCGTCTCGGTCATTGTCAAAGTGATGAGATGAACCTGTACTGAATAAAGAATCTTCGGAATCTGATCCGAGGACACCCTCTTCGTGATTGTCTAGATTATTGGTTGGCATACTTTATCACAAAGATCATTTAATGAAAGAAAAGAGAGAAAGAAACAGGTCCTGGATTTTAACTTACGGAGAACAAAACTTTTGTTCTTTTTTTTTTTCTTAAATGAAAATAGAAGAACTGAAATTAGCCCTAGAACGATTAGATCTAAACACAAAAGGAAATAAAACAAAGCTAAAAGAAAGACTAAGGAAGGCAAAAAAAGAGACCAAGGAAGTGAAAGAAGAAGAAGAAGAACCTAAAATAAAGTAAAAGAAAAGGGAGACGTCTCGAGGCTAGATCTAACAAGGCTCTAGTAAACAACCTTTTGACTATTACCTATTTTTTGATGTAGAAGCAACCTGTATAGAGAATGGGGGATTTAAATATGCGAATGAAATAATAGAGTTTCCTGTAGTTTTAGTGGATGGGAAAACCTTTGAAATTGTAAGTTGACTCTTTTTTTTTGTTATCACTCTAATGGACTGTCCTTTTTATTTATTGCAGGTTGATGAATTCAGATCCTACGTCAAACCGACAATAAATCCTACCTTATCCGAATTTTGTATAAAACTAACAGGAATCTCACAAGACACGGTTGACAATAGCCCTATCTTTATTGACGTACTCAATCAATTTCAAGAGTTTCTTGCAAAATACAATCTCTTTCAATCATCAAGTGCAGTCTTTGTCACAGGTAATGATGAAATGTAAAGACACACCTCAGATATTGATGGTGAATAGATGGCCCATTTGATATACGTGATTTTATCACAAAACAGTTGGAGCACAGCAACATCGATCCAAGACCTGCTTACTTTACTTTACCGTGGATCAATATCAGAAAGCTCTTTAAAGACTTTTATCATCAAACTCAGAATAAGAATATAAAAGGAATGCTTGAACATCTAAATATGACCTTTAAAGGACGAGAACACAGTGGCCTGGATGATGCGCGTAATTTAGCTTACATTGCCAAGCGTATGCATGAAGAGGGATGTATATTTAAAGCCAATTGTAAATTACAAAAAAGGCAATACAACAGAAAATCAAGATAATTTTTTTTTGTGTAGATATTTTTTCTATTTTTTCTTTTTTTCTTTTTATGGATAAAATAGAAGCTTCAAGTATAGCAGGTTATGTTTCTATCTTGCTTTGGCTTATTGTGTTCATACCGTAAATAAGAGTGATCCTGTTAGATCATGTTGCTCATTTGAAATTAGGCAACTACTTGAGAACTATAAAAGAAAAAGTGGAGATGGGCTGTCTATTGTGTTTTTGTTTGTTTGGTTGTTAGGGGATATATTTAATCTGATTGGGATTGTCATGGAAGACTTGATGTTTACTATGGTAATAAATGACATGTACACTGAAAATTATTGACATGTTGTAGTTTTTACTTGCATTATGGTACACAGTGGCAGACATTGGTCTGATATGGCAAGTGATTTATTATCAACAGGTTACACTGTATACCAAATTAAAACAAGAGGAAAGCAGCAATGGAAGCATCGATATGGCAGCTAAGAGATCTGCATTCTGGATCAATCTTGTTGGATCGAGCGTATTGATTACTGTGGTCGTTATCTCTTGTTACGCATACAATTCCGATTTGTTTAATGACAGCGACAGCACCTTGTCAGGGCTGATAGGGTGGGCAAGTGCAGTACTTTACATTGGAAGCAGGCTTCCTCAGATTATAAAAAACTGGAAAGCACAAAGCACCGAGGGACTTAGCTCTGGCATGTTCATTTGCGCTCTTTTTGGCAACTTCTCTTTCACTCTAGTGAGCTTTATCAATATACTTGCACATACACATAGCACTAACTCATATCCATAGTCAATATTTCTTAAATCAACAGAGAAACCATATATCTTACAGAATCTACCATGGATCGTTGGCAGCCTAGGCACTATTATTTTTGATATTATGGTAAAATAGATAACGCAGAAGCATTCAAACATTTTAACAATATCATAGATCTTTCTCCAGTTCTGTGTCTTTCATCGCCGAAAGCTTAAGCATAGATCAGATTAGTCCCAAATAAATCACGCACTTGCAGGACAAAAGTCATGTGTCTTTTATTTTTGTAATACAAACCTTGGCAGACACAAGTTTTCCTCTCTTTTTCTCTCTCTTTGACCATGCGGCAACACGTAGCTAGTGGCTTTCGACTTAAAGAAAACAAGCATCCTTTTATATTCGAAAACGAGAAGGGGCATGTCTTGGTTATTGCTTTCATAACACCATCTATCGTTCGTGTCCAATATTTGACAGAACTCGAACGAGAAAAACAGATTAGAGAAGCTGACTGCATAGTCGACTCTGTAGACGTCAAACTAAGCAATACATATGTGGATGGTCAACTTTTAACGGATACGCTTGAACTGAAAACGTCAGACCTTCGTCTGGTTGTCACCTTGCAGCCTGCTTTCCAACTAAAATGGTATCCCCTAGAACAACAAGATACAAGTGAATTTCCTTTTGCAGAGGATTTACTCTACAGAGCATATGCATATGACAAGGCAACAGATGATAAATGGCATTATCAGCGAAAATATGATGGTAACCTTTACTATGGACTGGGTGAGCGCACAGGCTCGTTTAACTTAAGCGGTCGACGATTCAAACTTGAAAGGCTCGACTGTATGGGGTATGACGCGGAAACACAGGATCCGCTCTACAAGTTTTGTCCATTCTATATATGTTTATCGCGTAAATCAAGGCATGCGTATGGTATTCATTATAACAACTTTTCAAAAGCAGAAATCAATTTTGGACAAGAGCTTGATGCGGTAAAAAAAAAAAAAAATCCTGTTCTTCCATGTTCGATCTAATAATCTTTTCATAGATGTGGAAGACTTACACATATTACCACTCCGAATCAGGTCCTTTGGACTATTATATGATATTTGGGCCAAAGGTTAGCTCCGTAGTTCAAAAATATTCATATATCGTAGGCAAGCCTCGCCATCTTCCTCCTCGTTATTCTTTTGGATACCTTGCGTCTTCTATGGGTTATGCAGAATCAGACGAAGCTCAAAAAAAGATTGAAGAGTTTGTGGAGAATTGTAAAAAGTACGATATACCTTGCGATGGCATGCATTTATCTTCGGGCTACACAGTGAATGCTGATGGTGATCGTTGCGTCTTTACTTGGAACCACAAGCGATTTCCAAATCCAGAAGAACTTTCAAAGAAACTAAAGGAAGCAGGCATACGAATATTTGCAAATGTAAAGCCGTGGTTACTACAACACTGTCACCCGGATTTTGAATTAGTAAAAGCTGATAAAGGATTTGTTTGGGACACAGACGAAGATCAACCGAGTACAGTCATGCAGTGGAAAGCAGGACCTAATACCATAGGCAAAGCTAGTTATATAGATTTTTCGAGTGAATCGGGTTATAATTACTGGAAATCTCGTTTAAAGACGGAGCTCTTGGAAAAAGGATATCTTTTATGGCTGGATAATAATGAATTTACTACTGCAGATGATGGACACACCTACGCCAACCAGGTATCCCCATATTCTTTTTCGGGAATGCATGGCTCTCGTATTACTGGGCCAACATTACCTAAAGAAAGATCAGAAACCATAAAGGCAGGCACCCCTTTGCAGACGTTATTGATGATTCAGGCATCGTATGAAGCACTTCGAGAGCATGATCCAGTTCAACGACCCTTTTTGATTACGAGATCAGCAACGCCATATGCACAACAGCTTGTGTCGCAAACATGGAGTGGCGATAACATGACAAGTTGGAAGACTGTAAAATACAACATACCCATGGGCCTTGGTGCAAATTTGAGTGCTATGCCTTATGGCTATGGTCATGATATTGGGGGATTTGCTGGTCCACAACCTGATCCAGAAATGCTCGTCCGATGGGTCCAACAAGGAATATTTTGGCCCAGGTTTTGTGTACATTCGTGGAATTCGGATAATACGATTACAGAATTATGGATGGTAAGCATGCTCCATTGCTACTTTATCTGAAATACTAACCTCTTGTAAAAGTTTCCAGAGGTGTTGCCTGTCATTCGATCTTCTCTCCAGCTTCGCTATAGACTAATCCCTTATTTGTACACATTGTACGTGAGATATGCATACTACGAGCAACAGCCTTTAATACGTCCCGTGTTGTATGAGCACCAACATGATATCAACACCTATGATCAACAATTTGAATTTATGGTTGGACCATCTTTACTAGTGGCGCCTATTTATGAACCAGGCCAGACCCATAGAGAAGTCTACCTTCCTTCCAATACATCATGGTATCATTTTCAAACAGGAACGTATTATAAGACTGACCCGAACGCTGGCCAATGGGTAAAAGTGGCTGCACCTCTCACTGATGAAGCTGCTCCACTCTTTGTCAAGGAGGGATCACTCATATGTTTTGGGAAAGCAATGAAAAATGTTCATGGCTCTATTGACGATGATCGCCGCGTACAAATATTCCCTCGTCGATTTGGCCACATGGATGATGCTCATTATACAAGGGAAACACTCATATTATATGAGGATGATGGAGAGACATTGTACCATGAAACTGGTGGTGCATATGCAGAAATTCACATTTGGATGGAAGAAAGAGAAACTGAGATCCATGTTGGTATGGAAATTGTCAAAGACGGGTATTTTCCTTACTATGACACTGTTTGGGTTACCTGTCCGATAAAGAGTGAAACAAGAAAGCTAATATTTGAAGTACCAGACGAAGAATCAAATGTACTTCAAATATTAGCAAGCAGGCAGTTGCCTAGCTTTGTAGATGATAATAGTAACTTGGCATACTTTGGAATAAGATTACCAAAGAGTAGGAGGAATGCTTGTGAGACATAACGCATGATTTAACAAATAAAAAAGACAAATGACCCGCTTGAATAGGAGTGTGCGACATCTTTGCATGAGAAAAAAAATAATAATAATAAAAAAGGAGCAGGAGACATCAAAAATTCAGATTACCTTTTTCTTTTTGCTTTTACATGTTGTTATCTTTGTTATTATGCTGTCCATTGGTGGTCAACGCATTTGTATCTCCAAAGCAATTGTTAAGCAGGAAAACCAAGTCAATCGTAGCATTTGGTGATTCATACACAGATTATGGTGTATCAGATATATATTATGAGCCAACTAAAAGTTATTACAATAAATCAAAGTAGCGAAGTATTTCCTTTAAACTAATTGATCTGTGGCTAACACTGCTTTTTTTTTTTGCTAGGTTACAAATACCAGTAACTCTGGTAATTAGTAATCTAATGATTAATAGTCTCTTGTTCTTATATTTGTTTAGCCAAAGAGATGGTCTGATGGACATCTTTGGATAGAATACCTAAAGGAGATGATGAGCGCTGAGAATATTTATGATTTTGCGAGATCAGGAGCTACAGTGAATAATGTAATATATATACTGTATTCTCTAACCTTTCATTAACATATTTCTCAGAGCATTGTGCCTAGATCAACTCAAGATCTTGGTGAACAAGTACAAGCATATTCCCGGTTTTTTAATCAAGCACATATTGATACTATTCATTTTATATGGATTGGTCTGAATGATATCCATGATATATTTCAAGGACGCAGTAATCGGTATCAAATAATAATTGATGAAGTAAACTCGTCTTTTTATAACAGCTTGGTAATAAGAATGTTTAAAGGTGCCAAAGATAATTTCTAATATATTTTTTATTAAACTAGAGTAAACTTTATGAATCAAAGGCAAAGTACATGTTTGTACTCAACGTGATCCCTCTGGGTGATTTACCCAAATTTTACACATTGTCGCAAGCTGAAAAGGCTCATCTTGACAGTATGGTCAGGAGATACAATGCAAATTTGGCGAATGTCATGCATGATCTAGTAGCAAAAAGGAAAAACCAGGGGCTGCATGTCTATTTGTATGATGCTTACGGAAAATTTGCTGATCTATGCATGAACATGACGGGCTCACCCAGTTCTTGTAACAGAGGGTCTCACTGCGACAAGTAAGTACGATGAATTCTCTTGTCTGGATCCACTAATCTTGCGTGTGCCATTCATTTTAGCTTAGTCTGGTGGGATGATTTGCATTTAACAACAAAGGTCCATTTTGCATTAGCAAGCTCTGTTTATAAGGAACTTTTAGCCACTGGCTGGTGAAATAAAGACGCTAACCCAAATTGAAGGATATATATAAAGTACTCTCTCAGCATTTACACGTTGTATTTTATGCTACTCATTTCTACTTTCGCTCAGTGTTTGAATTTGTATGTTTTGAACACAAATGAGTTCATTATGAGAAATTGTAGCTTGCATACACCAAACAAGTTTAAATCAAACTAAAGAAGAAAATAAAAACAGTAATACTAATGAACGTATGACCAGACTATATTCGACTCTAGCCTATATGCATTCAAACCAATTACATTGCTTGTAAGAGGGCTGTGTGTTTCTTAAAAAATTGTAAACTATCTTGTATGAAGCATGTATATTCGGCATTCACATCAGATGATCTTACTTGTTAATACTCAACTTTTTCTTTCAAAAGAACTTACTCTACTTGTGGCCGGATTAATTCTTTTTTTATAAATGTGTTGCAGCTGCCGCTTGCCCCTTTGACATACCTATCTACAAAGCGAGCAGCTGCAGGGCTTGGCAGATGATCAGGTTCTTGATCCGCTTATGTCCTGTTCGGTTGTAAGACCAGTTCATGTGTATAAAGCAGATCGAGACTAGAGGTAAATACAAAACAGCTCTTAACACGTTGGCTTTTCTCTTCTCACCAATTTTGTCACGCTCACTTCGCCAGCGAGGCTGACATCGCTGCTTTCTTCTACTACTACAAAATCAAAAACAAAACGATCTGTAGTATTCTCTAAGGCAGTCTCGTCACCCCAACAGAGTAAGTAGCCAGGGTGTCGCTTATGTAAGTAGCAGATATATTCAGGATGTAAACTAAAAAATACTAATCCTGTTCGTAAACACAGAATCTATCAATCGTCCAACGGCGTCTGGATGATCAGCACACATCCTGGTGCAAGTGCTCTGCTTTGCTCCCTCCTCCTAGCTTGCTCAAAAGAGCAATAGAAGAGCTGGAGGAAGAAGTCTATCGTGATGAGGCTTCCTTAGCCGTCAAAAGAAGAAAGCTGGTCTTGCTGGTTGAAGCTCACAGCATTTGAATTGTTCTCTCTCTCTTTTCTTTTCGTCTTTTTTTTCTAATAAATTTTTATAAAACTACGACCGATTATTCCTTTACACAATTTGATATCAAAATGAGAGAACGTTGCATTCAGACAAGTAAGATAGTAATGAGTAAATATTACTTTGAAAAGGTTATTAACGAGATAGATTTTGGTGAAAGTTTTATATTCGCTATGCCCCGAAAAGTGATGTCTAAATTTTTTAGCTGATTATCCCAAGTGAAATCTTTTTTTTTTGTTTTGTTTTGTTTTGTTTTTGAAATGGAGAGTTAGATTTCAGCCCACAACAATTCCTCAGTAAAAATAAACCTAAGAAAAGGACTTGGGCAATGACCTATATGAGGTTTCTGAGAATAGGACTAATGTTAGTAGCTGACTGGCCCGAGTAAGATTTTGTCCAAGCTCCTGCACCAAAAATTTCCCACTATGTGCTTTAAGCCTTTACTAGCGAAGGCTATCGGTCATTACACATTTGCTTGCATGCTATGATATGGCGAAACAAGTGAACCAATGTAAACAATAGCTAAATCTCTCTGTTAGAAATTAAATATATAGCATTTTTTTATGTAGGAATTGTTATGGGCAAACCTCAAGTTGGTTGCATGACAAAAAGAAACTTCCATGGGCATGATAAAGGCAACTATGACTCTCAAGTTAGAAGTGCCTTAATAGCGAGTCTAATATCAAAAACACTACTACTCAGTTCCTTTGAAAGCCCAATATTGGTCTCAATCAAATCAAGCATTATCAACTAACCATAGTTTGGACTTGCTATCAAATTCGGTTTTGGTGCTAGCTTTAATTTCGGAGACAATACGCTCAGACAAACCAGGATAAGCTGTACATCATGGCTTTTTTCATCGATATGTTGTCCCTTTGCAGGATCAGATCAAGACTTCTGATCGTATATTAATCCCTTATTGGTAAACCATCATTTTTATTCATTTTGAAGAATCTGCTTGCCATTATAAAGAGTGCAACAAGGCCACGTTCGTTTGTAATTCAAGGAAGATTTGTCTGTTTTAAGATTCTATATTTGGTAAATATTCCTAATGACTTGTATTTTTTAAATGAAGATGCAGTTGTGCATAAATTAATCATTTCTTGCTATTGAATTAATGATGCATAGTCCATTTCAAACTCAGTATTTAACAAAAGCTGATCTTGAGTTGTTGTTGCCTTACCTTTTTTACGTTCTCCTAATCTAATGCCATTTGTCGCCTTTGAACTATTTGGTAGTTGTCAACAAAAGAGTAACATAAAATGCACCTAAAAGAGCAATAATAGGGACTCTATGCACATTTGACAAGGTTGTCCAGAAAATAGAAGCAATACTCAACAAGCAACATCAAATTCATGATAAACAAGCAAAGAACTTCTTTTACAATTGGTACAACACTGCTCTACGTGATTATATTGCTACATCATTTGCTGGGAGATATTGCCCGTTGAAAAAAGTGCTAAGAGCTACTTTACAAAGAGCATTGATTAATGAGGGATATACGAGTCAAATAGACGAGGACCGGTTCCTAGAGGTCCTAGACGCGATAGGACCTTGCAGCGATGCTATTGAAGCACTAAAGATATTAAGTGATAAGAAGGAATGGGATATTTGGATATTATCAACAAGTGGGAACCGTTCCGAGACGATTGAATTCCTAAAACGGATGAATATGACAGACTATGTAGATACCCAAAATATTTTGTGCTGTGATGACCTGTGTACCTCGAGACCGCATCCCAAAGTTTATTCTGAGCTCATGAGAATGGCTGTACATCGAACAAAACGTATAGAGGTAGAGAACATGCAAATGTTGAAAAGGGGTTACAGATTGATTGTATATTGTAGAACTTTTACTTGATCAGCACTTATGCATTTGATCTAGCCAGTGCAAAGAACATGTCGTTTCGAACCGTGTTCCTAAATACCCATGAAAAAATCTATGCAGCTGACATGTACAGCAATGGAGAACCAAACATAATAGGAAATAACCTCGTTCATTGTATACAACAGATGATAGAATATGAAAAGACGAAAAAGTTTTTGTAATAAAAATACATGCTATTTCTGCAAATGTTCAGAATGTTTTTCTATTGAAAAATGCACAAGTTACTGATTTATTTATGAATGACAAAGAAAAATGTTGAATAGGCCTTATTTAAGGCTTGGTGCAGCGACCACGAACACAGGCTTCGATACAGTCATCGTTGCTAGCACAGCAAGCGTTGAATGGTCCCTTACCATTGTCCAAACCTTCATAACCGGGAATGCACTTGCCAGGGGTAGGAGTAGGGTTTGAAGGGCCATTGCAAACACCATTGACACAGCTGTTGACACAATCATCGTTGTTCTTGCAGCAGTCGCCCTTGTAACCATCGCCATTACCAAGGCCATAAGAACCGGCAGCACAAGTGGGCTTAGGGCCAGAAGTGGAAGTAGAAGTGGCAGTAGTAGTAGTAGAAGAACCAGGCTTGGTAGGGCCATTGCAAACACCCTTTACACAGGTGTCGACGCAGTCATCGCTATTGCTGCAGCAGAAGCCATTGTAGCCATCACCTTTACCTTTACCCTTGGAGCCAGCAGCACAGGTGCCAGTAGGAGCAGGGCTAGTAGAAGTCTTGGTGCTAGAAGACTGGGTAGGCTTGGTAGGACCATTACAGATACCGCTTACACAGCTGTTGATACAGTCATCGCTATTTTCACAGCAGTATCCCTTGTAACCATCACCGTTGCCAAGGCCCTTAGATCCGGCAGTACAGCTGGGAGCAGGAGCACTGCTAGTAGTAGTCTTGGTAGGTTTGGTAGGACCATTACAGACACCGCTTACACAGCTTTCGAAGCAATCATCGCTGTTCTTGCAGCAGTAACCCTTGTAGCCATCACCATTGCCTTTACCGGCAGAGCCACTGATACACTTAGCAGCGGCAGCATGAACGGGGTTTGCAGCAGCTTGGACTTGGAGAGCAGCAGCAGCCAAGAGAAAGATAGAGAGAGATAACTTCATTTTAAGATCTGTATGAGACTGGTGAAAAGGTAAGTTGATTCAGTAAATCATCCTGCCCTTTTATACTCTTTCGACTGTGGGGCAACAGTGATTGACAAAAGTTACACGCTCAAATTACGTTACAAGATGTGATATTTTTAACACGAAAATTGTTCCAGAATGGAATGTGATACCTGCATGATTTTTTTTTTTTACTTACTGCCAATCAAGTATAAGGGATTTACATACATGGCTCTCGTCCGCTTTTACAGGTTCATTTTGCCCCGATTGGTACATTCAAGGTGCTATATATACATTCAGTCTACAATAGCTCATTTTTCAAAGGAATTGACCTTCAAAAAAGAGCACACAGACCTACCTGCACTCTACTTGCTGCAAAATGTCTGCGGCGGCATCTCCTTGTACCAATGTGGTACAGGAACCCTTATATGTTAAGGAAGGGTGTGTCCATACAATGTTTATATTAGGTGCAACGGTAGCCCAAACTGTAAGGCAGGTTCATTGTCCGGTTGAATATTCTATTTATGGAATCATAGAGAAAATCATTATGAACACTTCTTATTGCGCCGATCTGGGTCCTTATGTAAAACCCAAATAAGATTAGACTCTAATCCATGCCATGCTTGAACTCTAATATGCTATTTTTAAACAAACATCAAATTAATGCCGATAATCAAAGGGCAGTTCTCGACTTGGGAAGGCTAAGGAAAGTCAAAGAAAATCTATTAATAAAAATAAATATAGATATATACATTGAACCCACTATGAGCGTAATTTTAGAAATAAAACTCTCAAATTAAGTTATGCTTTATAAAAAAAAAAAAATATATATATTAAATATAGTCTTTATACTCGATTGATAGCTGAGAAATAGGAGGAGACGATGTCAAGGAATCAACTAAGAAGAAGCCTGTCTCTCTGAATAAAGCCTTTTTCTTCAACAAAAAAGGAGGAGTTGAAGAGAAGCAAAAAAGATTGAAAATAGGCATATTGTCTATGAATGCATTTAACTCAATGTTTATTTACTAGAGTATATACATTGAGATAAAAAAAGTAACAAGTCCGCATAAGGAATGTTTATGCTGTGGACGATGATGGATAGTCTAAGGTGTTTGGAGCATTTGGTAGAGTGACAAGGTAAGTATCAATTTGTTCATGCTTATAGCACCGATCGTAGCCTACAATATCTCATCCTCTTTCCACAAAGCTGCATGTAGTGGGTCTCCATCTTCTCGGTCAAAGTAACCATTTACGAGTACTAATAGGCTGACGTACACTTTTCCGAGATCTACGCGGAGGCTCAATTATGTTGAATCATTAGTTCCGCGACTTGATCTTTTACTTTCACTTAATACTTGTTAATTACTTTGTCCTTTAGTAACAAAAAGTTAAATGCAAAGCTATTTTGAAACCATGAACACAGAACAGACCTACTGATCATTATATATATAGAATGTCGTCATTAAAAACTTTGAAGAGTATAATATAAAAACGACTCTCAACTGTTAGTACTTGATGAAGATGCATTACAGAGAGAGTGTGTGTGAGATCTGTTCGTCTTTTGTTGTCAGTCAAAGGTGATTAATCTTGTTGAAAATGCCATTAGAATGTATACAATAATAAAAGGAAATATACATTTTTATTAACAGTGATCTCCACATGTCTGATAGTAAAGAGACGTTAATCGTCAAAAGCAGAGAACGTCTGTAGCTAAAAATATAAAACTTCCCATTTAAAGAAAATATCTAAAACGCTAATGACTCCAATAGTTGCACTTTGGGCTCTATGTAACTTGTACTTGTGCACCAGAGTATTCTTTTACTTCCCGGGTACAGATCAATGCGTTTGATATTTAGAATCCAGGGGATGACAGACCAATATTCATTGAGTGTGGCTGTCAGAACTTATAATAAATTAATATATAAAGAAAATTATTTGGGCGGAGGATACGTATACAGGGTGCACCTATGTATTTCTCCATTCTGTTTGTTAAACGTTGGTAAGCTAAACACGGCACCCTTTTTTCTTTTTTGAGTATTGTACTCCCAGTGAAAATCAACGTGGTGCTCACCCTAATATCAATGTCACATTATGTAAGATGATATCATTGTCCCTTCAAGTCAGTGAGCATTTGTACGTTATCAACCCTTTAGTAAATATCGGTTATCAAGGGTACTCGATAGACTTAGCGTATGACATTCAGCAGCATAAAATAGAATCTCCAAAAGTCCAAGCAGCTAGTGCAGTATATCTAATTTATTTGTCAGCAATTGATAGTCAAACTCTTCAAGAAACAGAAGAGTCCTTTGTTGATGCTGTATTTGTCACTATACATTTTGACTCGCGTGGCATGCAGTCAATACTTATAGATTCAAATAGATAAAAAGTTCTGAATCTTTTACCTATCCTCTCGCTTTCATATACTTCTTGAATGTTTAATACAAATCATATTTTAAAAATAGAAGTGACATACTGAACGATGGCACTAGCTATCACGTTGAGCACGTTCATGACTTCAAGTAAATGATGGGTCTATTCATACTCTTACTAACATGGCGACGTTTTTTATGCCCGTAGCATCTGAATGGCTCCATTAACATTCTCGTAAAACAGAGAAAATGCCGGTCAAGTTATCATTTAACATCTCTTTACGCATGAATGAGCTACAGCTATCTGCCGCGTTTATAATAAAACAGATTATAAAACCACTAACGGTATCCTACGTCATCTGGAGAGTTGCCACTTTCACATATCTTTTTTTCCCTGGTACATTGTCTTTCTTTGTATCAAATCTCAAAGCGGTTTAGAGCAGCAGATGACGAGCATATTATGAACGCGGAAAATCATTTATCTCCATTGCTCAAAATAAAAAGTGGTGGAATATTACAATGGACAGTTTTACTAATTTGGTATGGTATTCCACAATCAGAATATGTAAAAGCAGCACCATCATAGTCATACAAGGATATGTATAAAAATAACCTGACTTCCGTTTTTAACTTTGCTAGGTGGGATCCAAGTTTCTCTTAACAGAATAATGCTTGCGGTATCAATGCTACGACTGTTGTTATCAAATCGATGTCAACTACATGGAGAGCTGCTCTCTAAAGTTGTAGCTTGAGCGCTTAACAACTCATCATAATTTTTTTAGTACGTACATTAAATGCAAATAGCAGTTCAATTACATTACGACCAGCCTATATCCTCCTGAACCTATTTCTCAACTAGGCTCAATCCGCGTGGCTTCTACTATTCCAACTTTTGTATTGATTATCTACTCTGGGCGCAGAATCTTTGACTCTCTTGTTCTAATTGGCGACACACAAGCCCTTTCTTAGCAATCTTCCAACTGTATTAGTTACGATGTGGATGGACTTCCATGTGTAATTCTGAACTTGATTTTCAAACACTCGTCTTAAGCTCACTAGAGGGTTATCTTTGATGACAACCTCCGTTGTTCCAACAGTTATTTTCTGCTCCATTCTATAACCATTTGGGACCTTTTAGATCTAATGCTTTATCTTGATTTAAATTAACTTTGTGCATGTTCTGTCATTCTAAAGTACATTACGGAATACAAACGTAGGGTATTCATTTTGTTTATAAATACTAGCCTAGTCGCTTAATAATTTGTATAATTTACATCTGCTATAGACACATGCTTACACCAGGAAAGAAACTTGAATAAAAGCTCATGGTATCCATTGTTTTTAGAATGTTTGGAACATTTAATGTCAAGATTTCATTTGAATCAAACAAAAGAGTGCCATACCACACAATGAACCCATTCAGCTGAAGTAGCTATAGTCCCCCATGATTCATTTCCTTTTAATAAAATTCTGCTTTTATAATAACGTATTATATGTCATCGCACGATGGATCAAACTACGGTCTTTAGACCATCATGACCAGTCAGTCATCGTGGCTCGTCTTGAGACATTTTTAAACGGCGATGCTTTAGTTTGCTGGACACGCAATGAAGATAGAGAAAGACGATTAAGCAAACGAAAAGTACATGTAAAAGAGAGAGGGGAAAGCCAAAAAAATACTGGTTTACCAAGCCTAACCGGTTTAGAGACAGCTGAACTTTGACCTATTTTCTTGGAATATTTAAAATCCATCGTATTCTCTCCCTGTAAGCATGATATTGTACCACAGTTACCAGTTACACCAAGTCTAGCATGTCCTGGTTATTCTTTTAATGACAAGACAACACTCTTGCTCTATCTATTTGACGATTAGCTTTGAATCAGCAAGTTTTCTCAATAAATCATTGAAAAAATGAATGTGCATAAAATAGCAACACAAAAGAAGGTCAGCTCTACATAGAATGGTTAATGTTGTCAAGGCAAAAGAAAATCAGCCCTACTAAAAAGTCTACGTTGACATAAAAGAAATATGTAGATTAAATTAAAAGAAAACTTCATACTTTGATAACCATCATGCTAGCACTTGGACAACTAGACGATATGAGAGCAACAGTAGCAGTAAAAGGTTGCTAGGGTACAAACAACTTGTAAATACATGGATGTAAATAGCAACATAAGTTACTATAGAACAGCCTTGTAAAATTAAAGATCACCGTATACGGCTCTTTCTGTTGATTCTAAAGACATTACTTTTACTGCTGAACGGGAAACCTCACAGTTTACCAGCACTAACCCCATCTGGTCAACTTTGGCAACAATAAAGGGAAACCATTGACAAGTTGGATCAGTTTATCTCAGTAGACTATCAGTTTACAAATGATTTGATCCTCTCTCTTATACCTTGCAAACGAATGCTTTGAGAGTCTGGTGGTAATGGATCATGTCGAATCCCGAAACCTAGCTGTACGTCATTGCGTGACTGTATAAATAAAAACCCTTTTTTTTTTCGTTCGCTGGTTTTGATATTTGTTTTTTTTTTCTTCTTCTTTAATTCTTGTACCTTTTCTTTTTTTTTTTATTTGCATTAGATATAAAAGCAAGTAAAAAGAGAGAAGGGAATAAATAGGATCATATATCAATTATCTGACCCCAAAAGATCTAAAGATCATTAAGAGTTCTTGTTTTTTTTTTTTGATAATCGTCCCTTATTTTATTGTATAAACTGTCACAGGTAAAGCAATATAAGCCAACACTTGTGCATGCATTAACTTTTAAGCTGTAAAAAGAGAAAATTATTTAAAAATGTCCTCCGATGAAGTAAGCAAGAGAAAAGCTAATGATCTCTCTCTTTTTAATATATAAAAATATATAGGATGCTTGCGATATTTGTGAGGGAGATAAATCATCCAAAAAGAATCCCATTATTTTTTGTGATGGTGATGGTAAGTTGAATACAAACACAGGCCCTTATTTATCGACTAACTGACTGAGGAATTAAATGTTAGGCTGCAATTTACCAGTTCATAAATGTATAGTGTGATCTCTTGCGCTGTTTAAAGTTAAACTGATGTTGTATATGTAAAATAGTGTGCTACAGAGTAGACGAAGTGCCTGAAGATGACTGGTTTTGTCAGAGCTGCGAAAATAAGAAAAATAAAAAGCCTGCTGTAGGTCAATATGAGATCGATCATACAAATTCTAACATGTTGTAGAACATTATTTGCTGTCCCCAAGAGACAGGAGCTGCTAGACGCACAATTACGTTTGGCGAATTGATGCATGTTGTTTGTGCAATGTGGAATAAGGACATTGACAATAATATAGAACCTTATGCATTCAACAAGCAATTATTAAATCAAAAGGTATGTGGATGCGCTTAGCAAAAAGATAAAGAAGCTTATTTTATTGTCAGACTTGCTTTTTGTGTGAAAAGTCAAAGGGACTTTGTATCACCTGTGAAGAACCTGATTGTAAAACGTAAGTTGAACAATCTAAAAAGGGAGACGATAATGAAGCTCAAACATCTACAGTACCTTTCACGTTACATGTGCAATTAATAACGGATTGATTACGCCTGCTGCATCAGTCAGTAGTAATTACTCACCTAAATGCAGTAAACATCAACCCAATTTTCCATCTAAAAAGCACACTATTCGTCGTCGTCTTCGTCCTGGAACACTAAGAGAACCCAGCACCTCGGATGAAGAGGAGGATAGTGACAGAACGGCTGAGGATGAAGAGGACGAGGACAAACATAGGATGCAAGTAGATCGATCCCCGATAAGGAAGGAGCCACACAAAAAGGAAATTCCTGCAAAAAGACCTAGTGATAACTTACAACTAACACGCTCAGATGAAGATGATGATGACATGGGTACCTCTAAAAAGCCCAAGTTTGGAGGAACTTCTTATAGAGAAATGTTGGAGGCAAAAAGAAAGAAATCAACTTTTGAAACAAAGTCACCATTTGGCTTAGACATTAAAAGACCTAGCATCACAACGCCACCGCCTCCACAGCCTTCTTCACAACCACCATCACAATCAGCTACAGTAATGGGTAGTAATAACAAAGCTACTAATAACGGTACGACTTTGCCCTTTAACAAACCAAAATTAGCATTAGGTGTACATCGTCCGTCTTTGACCCCACCACTGAAGAAGGCAAACGGACCCAATAGCCCGATGGAAGAGAACAATAACCGCTCTACAGGACAGACACCCAGATGGGGTAATAGCTCAGCACAAACCACACCTTTACATCAATCTCAACCTACAACGCCCAGCATAGTTAATACACCATTTTTTGATATCGATACACTACAAAAGAAGGCGGCGTCAGAAAGCCAGTTCAAAGGGGAAAAGGAGGAGATGGCGAGACTAAAAGAGGAGTTTCGAAAGCTATTGATAGAAAAGGAAGATACTACGAGAACACTGACTAGGGTCACAGAGGACTACAATCGACTACGAGAAGAGAAAAAGAAATGGATGCTTTTCAAGCAGAACCTATCTGAAGTTTTTGCGGCTCTAAAGGTCCCTTCACCTATCAATCCTACCCCTGATACCATTGAGCAATACGTTAGTCATATTTATTCGCTTATTAAACGCTTTGGCCCAATCACAGAAGAAGAACGCGTGCTAATTGAAGAAGCATCGAAATCTATTCATACAAAAATGAAATAAAGCGTAAATTAAACCTAAAGATTCACACTGTCTGATCCCTTGTCTCTGATGTGTTTAAATTGTAGACTATGAATCAAAGCACAGATCAATCTTATCAATAGCTTTTTTTTTCTTATTGATACAATTAACTTCACTTGTATAATATCCCTTTCTTAAACAGAACTAGGCAATCCACAACTACACAGTACTATGTATAGCATATCTGTCATAGCTACTCCAAAGTGCTTATTCGTATGAAACTACTTTATAAAAATGAGTAGTACAAAGAGACTGACCACAAAACACGCTACTATCATATAACTTATCATATCCAATTCTCATTGGTCAAAAGTAGTTCTGTGCATATAAAATGAAGCTTTTTGTAAAATGAACTCTCTTTCTTTCGTCTTAATCCACGATAAAGAGGTGACTATAGAGACTCATCGACATATGCTTCTCTTATGAATTCTATTGTTCTGATCAATACTTCAGTGTTACATATAGTGCTGTTTGCTGGAGCGAATTGCATAATCCGTTAACCTTGGGTCCTTAGCGTCGCATTTCTCCTGGCACGGAATCAATCGAATTGGTGAATGAAATAATGACCAATAAAAGCACAGTGCAAGCCTAAGAGATGCTGTCGACGTTTCAACTGAATTGGACCAGATTTGATTCCCTCACAACCTATACCATGTGTCGAGCTTCATTCTGACTATCTTCTCTTTTAGAACTTTAAAGTCCATTTGGTCCTTGTACCAATATAATTCTGCCAAAGCGATCAAATCACAGGAGAAAGTCACGTCCTTTTTCTTTCAATTGGTTTTTCATAAAGTGATCGTGCACGGCAAAAAGGAAAACATTAAAATTGGAGGGTGCTGGAGACATCTTCACCCAGGCAAAGGATACCGCAATTGAGTGAACTCTATGGCAAATCCAGCGACTTTTCGATCAGGGTACTTTGGTATCGATCATTGGTGATGCAACACTGAACAATAAACTACAATTGAACAAATGAAGGCGAAAGCTTATATCTGAAAAATAAATAAAGTACAAGGACTGCTGACAGTAATCAGTTTTACACATGTCTTTCAAGCATTATATTCTACTCAAGGGATTTTTACTGCAAGAGCCTTTTTTATTTTGCCAACACCATTCATTCAATCCTAGCAAAAATACATTTCGTCAAGGCCAAATCCAAGTGTAACTTGTCTCTTATTTATCTCTGCATGACTGGTCTTTGATGATGTCGTTAATTGCCTATTTATATGGACACTTTGTTTCGGCGTTTATCCTAGCGTTTGTAAGAGTGTTTTTCATCGAGGGTCATTTTTAAGAAACCAATGCCATGACTTGTTACAGTTCCTGAGCTTATCTTAGCAGGATTTGATGTTTTTGTTACGCCTACTAATCAAACCTGCGACAAAGATATCGCCTAATAGAACCCTTGTAGTAGGCCTGATAGCAATAGCATAGGTACCTTTTTTTGGGGAGGCCAAGCTCTTGAAAGATTTATATTCATATCAAAAGTAGGTTCGTCAAAAAACACGCAACTCATTAGGAAATTTCATGTGGTCCATAGACCCAAGTCCCCCCCCCCATTTTCATCAACATTATCATGCCCATATTTATAAAAAAAAAATACTATGATCGTGTTAAATTGCAAAGTACTGAAAAACAAAATCATCAGAAAAGAAAAGACTCGCTCTCTGTTTATATCTTTGAGTGCCAAGACATCTAAGTAACCGATGTGGTTTCTAAAAATACGATTTTTATTTCTGAAAATATGAAATTAATCTTGATTGGACAGTGATATCGTTTTTAATTGGCTAGCGTTATTGATTTTGATTGGCTGCGACATTATTTAATGGAAGCGCATCTTGGTATTGAACTATTTTTAAAACATTCAATTAAGGATGGTTTAAATATAGATAATATTGTTTACTCTCTCTCTCTCTTTTTCTACATCTTTACATATTCTGTTTCTCTCTCATGTCACTTGGCACAATTCATCCTTGCTTAATTCAATCAAGGAAAAGAAAAAGAACAGAAAAAAAGCAAGTTCGCTTTGATATAGACCATATAGTTATCGTTGATACCTATTCGCCCCTTGATTACGACCGTGGTTCACTATTTTCTAATACAGCAATACAATATAAACTTAATCCTACCATCTTAAACTCTAATCATCATAATTCGATACCTCTTGAAATACCCAATTCTCCATCTTCAAGTGATGAAGAAACAAGCAATCCTGTGAAAGAAACATTAGGACAAAAGAAGATAAAGAGGCCCAAATTGTCGGTTGATACAAGCATATGTGCTGGTCCACTATTCCTTACAAGATTAACTACACATCACAAGACAAAAGATGATACTAATACCAATAATGACTATTTAATACCTATCTCAGCATTGCCTGCGTAATAATAAAAAGATATCATGTTTAAAAAAACTGGCTTGCACATTCTTCCGTGAAGATTCAATTCATGTGATAAAAAGGATAATTCACTCATTGTGACCAAAGAGGAGGCTTTTCGCTAAATTCAATTAAAGTCATTTTCATGCAAAAAAATAGAAACAGGCTCTGACTTTTGTCTTTTATTTTAATTAGCGCAAGCATTGCGTCAAACTTTTTTTTTTTTGTTTCTGTTTCCTTTTTTCTTTTTTCTTTTTTTGCTTGTTATCATTCAAATGGAATCATTATCAAACATACCTTGCTCTGCTTTAACTGATGCCTTGATTGCTCTCGCACACAACACTTCTCCCAAAAGAAGAAGTTCAGTCAAAACCATTCCTCGAGAACAGCATACTTCCTATCTTACAGACACTGCGGACGCGGTTAGAGAAGTAGCAAAGAAACTAGGTAATCTAATAATATACCCTTCATTCTCTTACATTTCACTTATCAAATAACAAAGGTAGAACTCGTGTTAAATGGGAGAATCCCAAGACGGTGATGATCATTACTAAACCAGGCGATTGTTCACTTATTCGAATGACTCGTGACATGGCATTGCATCTAATCGAAACACCTAGATACGGCATGGACAGTGGTATTACAGTGTAAATAAAACAAGACCATTTAAAAAAGAGGAATCATTAACATCTTTAAAGTTATGTTGACCAAAAGCTGAAAGAATCAAAACGGTTTAGATACGAGAAGATCATCAAAAATCATCCGTTGGCTGTAGATAAACTTAAATTTTGGACACCAGAATTATGCGCTCTTAATCCTAAATTATTTGACTTTATCATCACTGTAAGTTGTCAATCGTACTCTTGTTCTCTCTACTAAATTTACTCTTTTTGAAGCTCGGTGGTGACGGAACGGTAAAATATAAACCCATCTTCACGTTCTTTCTGTTTATAATACTTTTCATATGATTAGGTCTTGTTTTCATCTTGGTTATTTCAAACATATATTCCGCCCGTCATTCCGTTTCATTTAGGCTCTCTTGGATTTTTAACCCCATTTGATTTTGGGAGATACAAAGAGCATCTTCACAAGGCAATGGAAATGGGTGTACGTATTAACCTTCGTGGACGACTCACCTGTACTGTCTATCGCCGCGTACCACATCCTAATTGCAAATCACCCGAGGATGCCAAGGTGGTTCACCTGCGCAATGTGGTCAGAAATCCCGTAACGGGTAAATTCACAGTAGGTGGATGGTGCCAAAAGCAGCAACATGACGGAAGTGGCAAAAAGAAAAAGTTTGGTGAAGTGGATGGTGAGGATATAGAAGACGAACAGGCTCAGTGCGATCCGACGCCGATGGGCGAAGAACGGCAGGTTCCTTGCTTTACTACAGTGCCTGTTGAAAAGTACCATGTGATTAATGATTTAGTGGTTGATCGTGGACCAAGTCCCTATGTAAGTCAATTGGAACTGTTTGGTGACGATAAGCACTTGACGACAGTACAAGCAGACGGATTGGCTATCTCTACTCCTACTGGAAGTACTGCATACTCTTTGTCAGCTGGGGGGTCACTGACACATCCTGACATTCAGGCTATTTTGATTACGCCCATCTGTCCTCACACACTTTCGTTCAGGCCCACGCTGGTACCTGAATCAATGGAATTGCGTATCTGTGTGCCGTTCAACTCACGAAACACCGCATGGGCTAGCTTTGATGGCCGTGGACGTGTCGAATTGAAGCAAGGTGATCATATTAAGGTTACAGCGTCCAAGTACCCGTTCCCGACAGTCTGTAAAGAAGACCAAGCTACAGATTGGTTCAACTCACTTCAAAACTGTCTTCATTGGAACAAGCGAGAACGCCAAAAGTCATTTGCCGTCGTTGAATCACATGGAGAACGGAAAGGATTGGCCAACAGCAGGACAAGCAGTATACAGCAGCTAAACACTTTACCTAACCGTCCTATGGCAGACCTGTCTCCAACAGAATCACAAAATGGACGAAAGTCATCTTCATCTTCATTATCAGATGCGGGATATGATGAAGTCTTTGGCATGTTTTACGATGATGAAATCCACCGTCGTAGTGAGTCAAATAGTAGCATAAATGACGATGTGGATGAGTTTGCAAGTGATTCGGATTCAGAAGATGATGTTGTATTTAATGGCTGGTCGGATGAAGAAATCATCAAGTCAAGATATATGGCTAACATCTCAAAAGAGCTGGAGAAAGTAAATAAGCATATATTTGCCAGCGATGAGATCAGCGAAAGAAGCGAGCAGGAATAACAGTTTTTTATATAAATTATTAAGTGTTACAATAAACTCTTTATTATTATTATGATTGACATCGTCTTCTTTAGTATTAAACAAACTATATGTTTTTGTTTCGTGCCAAAAGTTAATAATACGCCTCGTTCGCATTGCCTGCTGTCGTCTCCTTTCTATTATTGTTGTTGTGGTGGCTATTCGTGTTATTTTTCTTGTTTTGATTCTTTCTCTTGCCACGAGCGACAATACCATAATCCTCGGGATGAAGGAACATACAACGCTCTCTGAAAGCACATTGATCGCCCATTCTAATTAAGGGGAGATAAGTAAGATAAATAACCAAAAGAGAGAAACACTTACCGACAATCTTTCACAGGATGCCAATATTTACAATGCTTATTTGTGCAGTTGGGCCAATAATTGCAGCGCGACTTCATCTTGGGGAGATGGTTTTGTGATTGCTTTTGAATTTTTTCTAAACGAGCCCAAGTTCTTTCATCATAAGCTGCAAATGTATTTGCCATAACAAAGACGGATTCTCTGCCCTGGTTATAGTCCTTTTCAGTCTCGGGTTCCGAATCAGCGGCTGAATCATGATCTGACACAAGCAAGCCTTGAGGACTGGACGCAGGTGACTGTTGGAAGGGTATGGTGTTGTTGTTGTTGCTGTTGTTGTTATTGGTTGGGTGGAATGGACTGGCGGTCACTGAAAATGAAGAGTTCTGTCTAGAGATGGCGCGGGACGCTGGTTTCGAACTTTGGTTGGAAGGTTCTAGGGAGCTGATATAGTTACGAGAAGCCAATAAGGTAGCAGCTGTAGTAACTTCATAATTTGCAAGGAATGGCTTGACTGGTTTAGGCAGCTGCTCAACATAGCTTCGAGCATGGAGCAAGGTGAGTGCTGTGGTTGCTTCGTATTGAGCCAGGAACGGCTTGGCTGGCTTGGGTAGACTCTCGATATATTTTTGTGCAGCGTGTAAAGTAGCAGCCGTGGTTGCTTCATACTTGGAAAGGAAAGGTGAAGGCGGCTTGGGCATGGATGCAACGTACTCTGATGCTTTTAATAAATGACATGCCGTCGAAGCATCATACTTTGCCAGTGTCGATTCTTTAATTGATGGCTTGGTTTGCTCAATATATTTGCTGGATTGTAACAATACACGAGCTGTGGTTGCTTCATAATTTGCCAAGAAAGGATCTACCTTCTTTGGTAGGGAAGCAATGTATTTTTCGGCAGCCAAGAGGGTAAATGCCGTGGTAGCCTCAAAATTGGCTAAAAATGGAGTCACAGGCTTGGGCAGGGACTCAATGTGTTGTTGGCTAGCTAATAGACAAGAAGCTGTGGTCGCCTCATAACTGGCTAAGAACGGAGCTACGGGTTTGGGTAAGGATTCGATATATTGCTGACTGATTAACAGACATGAAGCTGTAGTCACCTCATAGTTGGCTAAAAATGGATCTGCCTATAATATATATATATATATAGAATTAATCATGCGTCTTTTTTTTCTTTGAAATAAACCTACCTTCGGTTGTGCAACCGCAGGCTTATCCTTGTTTTCTTGCACTTCAGGTTCAGGTTTTTTGTGTGGGACTAAAAGAAAAGATCGGTAAACAGATAGAATACGAGTAGAAAGTACTAACCATCCAAGCTTTTTACTTCTCTTGTTGTCACTTTACTCTTTTCCTTGTCTTTAACTAGAAAAAGAAAAGATCAGTTTGAACATGTCAAAGATCTTTTATATATTTTTTTTGTATACCTGAAAAAGCAAAATAGTAAATGACGGCTGTAATAACACCAGCAGATATAGTTAATATGATTCCAATAGATATTTCATCTCTATCTGCTGTGGCAAAATGTTCGATATAATGTGTTATCACAGAAGACATTCTTTCTAAAAGGCGCAAGGAAAGGGATAACGGAAGGAAATGAAATGGGAACGGAACCTTTTAAAAAATTGTTTTTTTTTTTTTTTTTCTATAATATTAAAATACCGACGATGATAATATCTTTTTTCATTATACTTATGCTCTCTCTCTTTCTCTCTCTTTCTCTTTAGCTTAAAGTAATAACTTTATAAAAAGTGATTATGAAAAAGAGAGTCATTGAGAATGATAATGTTGAAACCATTTTTTAATTTTAATCCTGACTCCAGCAAAGCCTAATATCTTGAACTAGTCACTCTTCTCGACAGTTTGGTTGCAAATGGAAGAGCTCGATATGATTTCTACTTTATGACAGCATAACTTTTTACAAATGCACTTTAGAGTGTAACAAAGGATGCAGTGTTGTCAAGTAAATGCCTATATATATGTATATATTTATATCTGTGTCTGTGTATATACATGAATACATAAATGTATTCGAAATATATATACATATATAGTTGCAACTCTGGTAAACTCATGGAATAGCTTAAAAGTATATTAAGGGGAGTTACACATTCTTATTATGATGGACAACGTACTCTTGACTTATACAGAGTGGTTACATCAATATTTCCAAGGACCAATACCACTTGGGTCACCTTGAATTTACTTTAGTACATATTACTATTGTTCAACAAAGCGTACCGATCTATTAAGGTTTTGAATCAAATGCAATCGCAGGACATTCTCGATGGGCAAAGCGAAGGGGGGAAGGACTTTTGTATAAATCGTTTGGTGTGGGAACATCCATTTCCAACAACAGGAAAAATAACCTCCTTTGGGTAAATTGTGATGTATAGAATTGAGGCCTTTTCTTTGTGAAACAATTAGTGAAATAGAAATAGAATAAAGAAAGAAAGCAAGGAAATGAAAAAAGGTGATATATGTCTCTCCTTGATTTATTAGTAATTAATGTTATACTTTAATCAAGCTTTATCTCGATAACTAGGGAATAAGATAAGCAGGCTTTCGTACGGGGAAAATAAACCTAAAGTTGCGTTATTTTTGATTGTGATAAAAGCTATGCAACCTGCGTTATTTTTTGCATTTATATCTTTCTTTCTTTTGAAATCAAATGCAACATCATGTTGTCATTTCAAGCAGAATTTCGAATTATTCTAGATACAAAACATATCATCTTACATGGAACGGCTGATGAGTCTGCAGGTGTTTGTTTGAGAGGTGTTGTCTTTTTGAAATGCCAGGAACCGATTAAAGTCAAGACGGTAACTCTTTCATTTCAGGGTGTAGCTCAGGTTCACTGGACAGAAGGTACATATATAATGAAACGTATATTTTGATTCTTACCTCTTATAAATCAGCCCAAGAATCCCGAGTACAGCAGTATAAAGATGAACGTATCCTGTTTGAAAAGAAATGGGTCTTTTTGAAACCGCAGCGAAAGGCTTACACGTTCGATCGAGGAGAATACAGATGGTAATAACTCATAATCTGTTACGAACCCATTTGCTTTTGGATCCATCATTTAACTACCTGAGCTAGGGAATTTGAGCTTGCACTTCCTGGTCATCTACCAGAGTCTATAGAACATGAATTGGGTCAAGTGAATTACACGTTCAAGGCATGCTGCGAACGACCAGTGTTCTCGAGCAATTTTTGGGATAAACAAATCGTCCAAGTCAGTCGCTTACTTTATTATGCACATAATTCGTCTATAATCATTTCCAGCGTATGGTCTGATAAGGTCATTTACGATATTAGTATTCCTAAAAAGACTTATACAACCAACACGATGATACCCGTCACTTTTCACCTAGAACCGCTTGCTGAAGACTTGTCTATACATATGGTTGCCTGTAAACTAAAAGAATACGTCACTTATTGTGTGCCTGGACATAAAAAATCTTTGGCAAAAACAGTTCATATTCGAAGGGACGAGCACACGAAAGGAAGATGGCGTTTAACCGAGTTAGTGCATGTTCCCATCAATGCCCACGTGGACACTCAAGGTGAATTGATCCAAGTGAAGCATAAACTAAAGTTTGTTGTATCTCTAAAGAATTCGGATGGTCACATGTCAGGTAAACACAAGATGTAAAGTAAGCAATGTAGAAAATAAACCGTTTTTGCGTAGAATTAAGAGCGTCTATTCCAGTTGTAGTGACTTCAGTGTCCGCAGATGAGAATGAATTGCCAACATACAATGAATCTTGCAAATCGACAATCATTGATGCAGAATTGCCTCCTTATGATTATCAGTTACCGACGTATGAATCAATTATTGCTTAAGTAGTTGTCAAAAAATGGGTGCATATATTTAGCGCGGATGAGCATCAAGCTATGCAGAGATTAATAAAGTTGCATTTACTTGTTTTGAGTAAAAAGAATCTTTAATCCGATTTACTCTTAATTTAGAAATATTAAATAAGCCTGCACTCATTTTCAATATGTTGGTTAGAAACAAATATGAAAAAGATGTCTTGATCCACAACGCTTTCGAAATCGGGGCTCTTCTTAAGTTTACTTTTGTCACATTTCTTCCTCACAGCTTTGAACATTAAATTACCTCTTGGTAATCCCAGAATGAAACAATTATAAGTTGCCTTAATTCAAAATGTAAGCACAAAGCACCTCCTAATTGTCATAGGTTTAAAATACTATAGTGTCTCGTATGTACTTTTTTTTTTTTGAGATACTTTGAGACTGAGCTTTTCTCCTGTAGGTATGGATCTGGCAGTTAAGACAGATTATGTATTTCACACATCTATCAAAAAAAGTCCCATGCTAAGTTACAAATGGTAGTGTCGATATGTATCCGTCATTGTCTTTTTAAATCTTCTATTTTTTGCAGTTATTCAATCTGTATGTTCAAGATAGAATGAAACATTCTCTTAAACCCATGCTTAACCTGATACTGTTTTATTAAAAACACGTTTCACACAAAGGATGAGTTTTGACGTATCTGAAGAGAAAGTTCTTTTGGGATTTACTTAAACCAAAGCAATGCAAGTAGATAAATGAAGTAGTGAGAATATTTATATGAGAAATTTTACCTTGAAAAATGAATATCCTAAATTTTTTAGCTGATTGTCCCAAGTAAAATCTTGTCTACATTTTTATTTTTTTGTTGTTACAGTGGAGAGTTACTTGTCAGATTTAGCAAAAAAGCACATCTTAGGCAGTATCCTTGTTGAAGCAGTCAATCTATTTTAGTTGTTGTTGAATGTTCATTGCAGACCGATCAGCCTACAAACATACACGGCGTTTTATTGAATATAGATGATTTTGCTGATACTATGGAGGTAGAAGATGCGGAAGAAGAAAAAGACGAAACGAGCGAAGTAGAAGAAGAGGAAAAAGAAAAAAGCAGTGAAAACTAGGTGAATAAAGAGCATCCAGCAGTTCTTTTAGAAAGTGGATCTAACAACTCACCTTTGGAAGTGAAGTTTGAGGCAGCAAGTATGCCAGATGAGGCACTTAAGCAAAGTTTGAATCTTTACCACTTTGCAAAATAAGGTACCTCGAAATGCATTTGATGATGTTATCAAGATGGCAAACGACCCTATCAAATCTAGAGATTCCTGTTTTTATATCCACTACCTTTATGTTCCTAACCAGTGCCGTATACCAATCAGCCAGATACGTAATCGACTTCGGCGCCTACATATCTTCAGCAGCCATACCTTCGATATCATTATCCGAACTGTCACCTTGTTACTCTGCTTATTCGCAACGATCATGAATCTGAGCTCCATTCACAATTACTATTCGTGGCATGATCCCTTTGATCTACAAATTTGCGTGATCCAGTATGCTTCAAGTGGAGTTATCAAGTTTGATTATGTCTTTGTCACCTTTGCTTGTTGGCTGATTCACGCTATTCGTCGTATTAGTGTTCCTGTTCAGCGCACTGCTACGCTCTTTTTTATCGAAGAAGGCTTTTTTGCTCCCGAAGCGTTTCTCAAAATCTTTCATATCTGTCATGAATGACTGTATCCTACGTCTTTTCATCAATACATTTTTTACCCTTGATACCAGAAGTGCATTTTATTAGCATTAATGGCCACACAGATTGACCTAGTCTGGACGAATGCTCGAATTTTATTTTATGCGCTTATTTGGACTGTTTGATAAAAAATTATTTTATGTTTGAACAAAGCATAATGTTACATGGGCAGGCAGTCAAATCAATATTCACTATCACCGTCTTAAATAAGACATGGCTAACTGTATCCACCAGGCCAACAACATTAATTGAACTTTGGAGAACATCTACAGCCCACGCAAGAGGCTTTCGTGACGCTACTTTACGGTGTTTGAGAACGTAGAAGCAAAAGTGGCTGCTAGATATTGTAACCAAGGCCAGCTATGATTGCAATTCAGTGATGTGAACAGTGCAGTCTTTGAAACAGCTTTCCGCCTTGCTTACAAATTTCTATGAAGCTCTCACCAATAGATACTCCCTCCGCTATAACGACGGCTTCAGTGAGGCAGAGAGCCATTAATGGGATCATTATTGCTTTTGATTCCGCAGAATCACGCAGTACTGATATAGCAGTTAGAGTCTTCAATGTAGTCAGCATGCCTACGTTACCTCCTACTAGCTCCACTTATCGAGCTTCGCTGCAAAAATTACCTCTGATGAGGAGAGACAGTTTAAATCTCCCTTTGACTAAGGATCTTTCTCGTTACGGTATTGTCCTTCCTCTGACTTTTCTCTGACTTTTCTCTGACTTCTTCATTTCACATGAACCATTATTGCAATGTTTGTAGTCTTAGTTTTGAAACAGACATAAAGTTAGCAAATCATAAATACGATGCTCACATCGACTTAGTAAAAGCGAGTTTTGGTGATGGTAAGAAAAGGGCATTTAAGACACGACTTTTTCACTTAAACAAAAAGTAGAGACAGTTTTGGTTAGCAGAGTTGATGGGAAGTTCACTTGTCCCAAATGCTCCAATAGACTTATTAGCCCCACTACACTTAACCGTCACCTTAGCAAGATGCATGACGGACACTGCTCCACTGTCTCCAAAAGGAGAAAACGGCCATATTCCGAAGTGGACAACACTAACAACACTAACAACACTAGCCCCTCGCCTGAACATAGATAAATACGACTCAAACTCTTCACCAACAGCAAAATCATCTCTATTTGACAGGAATACTTCAATATTGTTGGTATCGAGCGCTCTTTCACAGTCAAGTTCTGAGCAAGAGAAACGTATAATGTTGACCAAGGTTGGAGATTGGGAACCAATTATATTGACATCAGTAAATGGAAAATCATATCATTTCCTTACCTCTCTAGAAAACATGCAGGATATTCTAGTTGATCAGCCTGCTGGTCAGTGGACACTTCCAATAAAGACTGAAACAGCAACAAGGGAGTGTACAAATACAAACAGCAATCATTTGTTCCAGTATTTCGCCTCAACCAGCCCCTTTTGCAAACACATATCGAGCCATAAATACATAGAGCTTTCAAAGTCAGTGACAGAAAGTGTCAACAAAGACTGGACACTCTTCCCACAGTTCAGATATGCTGTTTTTCAACTTTTCGCAGGAGCGATTCTGATAGAACAATCATCTGCTATCCTCATAAACTGCGTCGAACCGTATGGCCGCCTAAAGAGTACTGATGCACATTACGAGCGAAGACTTGCAACAACAATGAATCTGTCTTCTTATCCGAAAAAAGAATGCAAATATGATTGGATTACTGTAGTCCAAACGCAAGAAGACAATGCCATGAAGCTGAAAATTGGAACAACAACATGCAACTTGTTGGTAACTTCTAGTTTGCGGTTGGATAAAAACTCAAGCATATCACACATTATTGAAATAGGTCCCAATAGAAGTCATTTTATTCCTACTGATAACACATCTATTTATCTTAATACCGCTTCAGTCAACTTGGCAAATTCATTGATGGAAAATGAATCAGCTACCTTTATCAACCAAGAAAACTGCCTATATCAACTACGGCAGGTTAGATCCAAATTCCACTGCTTATCAACCTACACCCTGTGCCGTTCCTTCAGCAAAACTTCATCTAACATCATGTTTCGTCCATACACCATCTGGACATTATACGAGTATGACTCCCCACAAAAAACCGACTCACAAGCACGAATGCTATCAGGCATTTTTCAAAACATTGCGTATTCTGTGATTAGGAACGGATCTGTTGCTCGTGTTGATATCAATTGCATTAAAAATGTACAAGATCAGTTGAAGGACAACACGACAAAATATATCCTTACTCAAATACTAAAGTTACAAGAAAATGGGTTTATTACGATAATCAATAATTTCGTACTCAGTAGATTGCTTCAATCTTTAGCTGATTCGATGATTACTTCAATTAAAAATGCCAATCTGAATGCTGCAAAATTATTAGCAAATTCTTTACAAGCTTAAGCCTTTAAATTTAAATCAGTTTATTTTACCAATCTTGATACCATTATATTTCAGTTAAATTATGAATAAACAGTATAAATAAATAATCAATACATAAAAAGATGAATCAAACAGTTGCCGAAGTGGAAGGAGAAGATGAGGTGGTAAAAGGCTCTTTCGTGCCACGCTTTATTTTCAGATAACATACAATAAAAAAAAATTTTTTTTCAATTCCTATTTCTTTAGATCTTTGAGCGCTGCTAACTTATTTTTTCTATTTATCTTGGGAGGGGAACAACAGCGAAGAAAACCAGTTGAAAGTTGAAGGGCGGGTGACCACCTCATCTTCTCCTTCCACTTCGGCAACTGTTTGATTGGAAGTCATACTTATCCCAATCATTGTTGCCTCCGTTCCAGGTTCCGATGAGGT